GTGATTGTACAGCCAAACACCCACGGGAGGAGGACCCAGTGGGGCTCACAAGTGCATTTACCATGGGCTGTCCTGAGCCCCCTGCAGCTGGCTCTGCTGAAACCCTCTGCCCTCCTCCTGTGCATCCCTTTTCCCTGCAGCCCCTCTGAAGGCAGTGCCAGCTGAGGCTGCTGCACAGTGACAGCATTTGGGAGGCTGAGGTGAGCAGGGAGAGCAGCCCCTGCTGCTCCTTGGCCACGCTCCAGCAGCGATTTCTCACCCCAGTTTCTCATGTGCTCATTGCATAATTCTGACAGAGGTGTCTGGATTTTACATCTCAGGGACCCTAAGCTCAGCCCCAATACACCCTGATACACCCTATCAGTGAACAGTCAGTGAGTGACCTCCTTTCCTTGTCACACGACAACCACAAGCGTGGTCACCCTACGCGACTGCTCGACTGTCCTGCTAAGGAATCCTCTGCAATTGCTTCCCTGTCTGACTGGGTCTGTGGCTGTTGGTCCAAACTGTTCCGACTTGTTCTAGTTCCCACATTTCCCTGGCTTCCTAAGGATGCCAAAATTCACCCATGTAAAAGCATTCTCATCAGCATCCTCCATGTCACTGTAATCTCTCAGTGCTGCCCTCCCAGGACCCAGCCCCTCTCCCAGCTCACCTCACACACCTCAGCCTGGAGCTTCTTCTGGCAGTTGTTGCCAGCCATTCAAAGGCCCACATTTATTCCTTATCCATGACTGACTATACAAAGGGGGTCCCTTGCTCCTCTGTCCTCCCTCTGCTCTTTCCCACCATTTCACCCCAGCCCATGGAAGAGCTCTGTCTCTGCCACAGCTCCTGCCAAGCACAAACACCTCTCCTGCTTTCCCACGTAATTCAAACCCTCTCTCATTAATTTCTTGTCTCCCTGCTCCGAAGAACCCCCCCAGCCTCTCCTGCCAGGCTGTATTTCTGTGTCTAACAGTGAGCACCACACGTTTCCTGCTGCAGAAGCAGTGCTGCACTGAGGATGGGTGCCAGCCTGTGCTGGGGAGAGCCAGGGACCCTCAGGCTGCTCTGTGTGCTGTTTCCAGGAAAATATCAACTAGAAAAAGCCAAGGAATTTTATGCAGAGGTTTCTTATTAGGAATCACTTTCTTTCACTACTTAACACTGCATTGTGTGAGATGCTCTACAAACCCATAACAAGGGACTGAATTACCCTTGAACAGCTGCAAGAGAAGGAAACTAGAGAGGAGTGGCAGGAGAAAAGCAGTTTGTTCCTCCCCCACACCAAAAAAAAAGAAATTAAAAAAAAAAAGTGGTAAATTCAGGCAGTTCCTCTGTTCTTTACATGCCCAAGAAAAATTTACTCTGAATGTACCAAGCAGATACATCACATCTTTCATACTAATAATTTATCATTTGAACACTGATAGCAATCATCACAGGAATTTCCTTTTGAGTTCTTGGTCAGATTTTTATTTAATACCATGGCTCCAGTTATGCTGCAGACAGACTGCCTGTGCTCTCACATGTGCACTTGGGGAGTTCTTTGAGCATTATTGGCACTGCTGCTGGTACTGAAGTCCTCTTGCTCTTTACTGTGTGGCACCCTTGTCACAGACATTTTAGGGGTTCCAGCCTCCTGCTCCATGAATCCTGCATGGCCAGTGAGAAGCACAGCTGGAATCTGCCTCTTTGTAGAGAGGCACATGAAGGTGTCTGCTGAATACATGGCTGAATATACATGGCTGAATTTAGTACCAGAATAAGAATAATTCAGTAGGAAGAAAGATGCTCATAAAAGTATTAACTTCGATTTATTAATCTCAAACTGTGTCAGGCTGCAATGCCACCAGCCACCAGTGATGGTGGCACAGCTGCAAGGTGCTTGTAGGTTTATGTTTGAGATAAAAGGGCCCAAGTGCTCTGGGCCCCAGTTTGGGGGTTGGACACTTTGGGCCCTTTCTAACCACCCATTTGGTGAGCTCTGCCAGTGCTTCCAGAATTCCTGGAAAGAGATTCAGCCCATTTTCTGTCCTTAACACACAACCACAACAAGTCCTGTGCAACTCCAAAAGGACTCAGTAACTGTGTTCACACAAGTTACAGGAACAGAGTCCCAACCTCCCATTCCCCCAGCGGGTTGTGCTGCTGCCCATGACCCTGGCAAAGGCAGGAATGTGCCTTTCAAGTGCTCTGTGACTGCCCCGTGAGGGCTTCCTGCTGAGGGAGCCTGACCACAACTGCAGGGGAAGGAAGAAAGTGTTCCTGACCATCATTGCCTCTCAAAACCGCAAAGAAGGGATAAAGAGCTGCATCCAGAGCACAGACATCGGGCTGCCCATCACCACTTCCCTGTCAGTGTAGCTGTGGCCACATCAGAGACTCCTCGAGCAGCCCAGCAGCAGGGACAGAGTGTCTCTGCCCATCCAAGCAAAATGCACAGAGATTTGAAGCTGGGATCCTGCAGCAGGAACAGGAAGGAGCCAGCCCAGAGGGTGCTTGGCACATTCTCTAAAGGCAGTGAACTCCTGCTAGTCCACTCTCCTTTGCTCTCTGCCACACCTGCCAGTGTGCAGGGCACCCCGAGAACTCACCAGCACATTTTGCCACAGCCCTGGTAAGTCCTCACAGTTCAGGACTTGCACCAGGTGTGGGAACAGGCACAACTATTGTACACTTGCTCTCTGGGGTCAAGTGTGCCTGGGCTGGACAGAGAGCACAGGGGAGTGACAAGATCCTTAAATCCTTCGTGCAGCCCCTGTCAAACAAAACATCAGCTCTCATCACCTGAGTTCCAAAGGCTGGGTGCAGGGGGTACTGGAGGAGTGACAGGGTCACACTCCTGGACTGTCCCTGTGCCAAGAGACAAACAAGAGGCACAGAACACGAAAATGGACAGTACAAGGTCAATCTCATTACATGCACTTAATACAAAACCCAAGAAATTGCCATGGAAACTGAAGAGCAACAAATATGATCATGGTCCAAGGAGAAGGGTTTTGGGGAACACAGCATTAAATAACAGAACTCACTGCCCCCAGGTGTCACAGAACACAAGGTTCTTGAAGGATTCGACTGTGCAGTTCACAGGACACACACAACCACACAAAAATGCCAGGAAATGCTGAAGGATACAGAGCTCAAGACATAACAGCTCACAGCAGGAGCTCACATGGCATGAGACGAGAAGAAACTTGTTCTGGGGCCACCATCTCCTTCCCTCTGGCCATCTCCACTGCCTTGTGTCATGCTGGGGCTTCCCTGGATCCCAGGTCACACCTGTGCTAACAACTTCCTTTGCAGCAATACTTGGTGGGCTCAGCCAGAACTCGAGATATGATCCCCTGCACTGTGCAAACCCTGAGCAGGTGAGCAGCCTGTGCCCCAGAGAGCCCTGTGTGTGCACAGAGCAGGGCACAGCCAGCAGGCACTGCCAGAGGGGCAGGAACACCACAGTGCCTTCAGTCCATCCTTGGCCAGTGCAGGGGCCTTTGGCACGGCCACGACACGAGTCCTGCCGGGCTCACAGGGCACCAACAGCCTGCCCTGACACACACCAACCCTCCACAGCTGCTGCAGCAGCACAGGATGGGGCTCCAGCACCTCCTGGCAGCCCTCTGCCTGTCCCAGGGGGAGCTGGGCAGTAAAAACACCACCACTGGAGACACCCAGGCTTTGGGGGCTGGGGAGAACAGGAGAGAGCTGCCCCAACAGAGACAGGTCCTGATTTGGTGGCTCTTCACAGGAGAACCCCTTTGCAGTCCTCTGGCAATGTGAGAGGGAAGCTGCTCCATCAGCTCCCAGTACAAGGGACCCTGCAGGGACCCCCGGGGGGAGCAGCTCCTGTCACTGGAGGAGGCTCCTGATCCCCACACCCAACCTCCAGCTGCTGCCTGCAGACCCCACGTTTGTCCTGATGTGCCCACTGAGCTCCCCCTGAGGAGCTGCTGTTGACACAGACCCCTCCCAGGCTGCCCTGGCCCAGCTTTAAGAAAAGCAGGGCTCTCCTCAGGACTCTCCAACAGCAGAGCTCTGCTCTGGGGCTCCTGCTCAGAGGGGCACATGGAAGTCTCCAAGTCTTTTGCTAAAGGCAGAGGAGGAGCCCACCTAAGAATTCCTGTATCACAACCTGCTGCCAGATATATCCTTGACTACCCTTGGTCTCACCTCTCTCCTCGCTGCCTCTCTGCATTGGTGCAGAGCACAAACACCCTCAGACCCTGTTGGGAGAGGAGCATCCAGTTCAAGAGGTCTTCAAGGGGGAGCAAAGCTATTTTACCAACACACCTGCTCCTGCAGGAAGCTGGTGGCAAGAAAAAGCTGGCAGTGACTTTCCAGAGAGGAACTACAGCTCAGAAGAGCCAGCAGACCCCAGGCTCCAGCATGTGGGTGTCAGCAGAGGGGACAGACACCCCTGATCCCTGATCCCCCCATCTGCTGCCAGCAAGGGATGTGCCTTTGCTGGGAAGGATGACCCCTGTCCCATGCACAAATCCAGCCTGCCCTCAGCAGCAGAGCTCACAGTCCCTGCACAAACATGCCTGCTCTGTCTGCTCCTGCTGTCCCCTGATCTGGTGTTCTGGTGGAGACCAAACAGCAGATGGAGTGGACACCAAAACTGCTCCTTCACTAGAGAAAAGGAGTGGGGGCCTCTTGGCCCTTTGCTCTGAACACAAAGAGCAACTCTGGGAAGCTGCAGGAAGCCAGGAACCAGCAATTTTATTTTAGAGATCCAGTCTGTCACTGGTCTGAACAAACCTCTTGAGCTGCCTTGATAAACCCCTCACTTCCCTTCCCCCTCGCCAGACTTTTCTCCAGCCCCCTCCCTAAGATGTCAGGGTAAACAGCAGATCCTGCTCCTGAAAGTTGTCCTCTCTTTGGCAGACTGTTTCCTGTGCTGGCTGCACACAGGTTCACACAGGGACCAGGCTGCCCCTCTCTCCCCCCACCACAAACACCTCTCAGTGCCAGACCACAGGACCTGGACCTGGGTTTGCTCTCCCAGCACCACTGACCTTTTTCTTCCGGTCCCGGGAGCGGTTCCTGCGCTTGCGGTTGGATTCCTCCTTCTCCTTCTGCTCCTGCAGAGCCTGAGCCTCGATGTCTTTGATTTTCTTCAGCTGCTTAGCTGCTTGAGCCATGGCTGGTCAGACTGCAGTCCCCTCCAGAGCTCACACCTGCACTTTCCACGCAGCAAAATCCTCCTGGCCAGGGAAGTCCCTTCCCCTGGCGCAAACGCCGCCGACCCAGATGAGTGTGAAACCAGGAAGGAGAGGAAAATCAAAAGCAGTCAGCAAGCCCCAAAGGGCAGCCAATGTCTCCAGCTAGTTGCTAGATGGAGTCTGGGACACCTTTATAAAGCATTAACAATCCCAAATCCAGCTGTTTGCGAGGTCCCACGCACCATTGCAGCAGCCCCTGACTGCGCTGGCACATCCTGCAGGAGCGTTCTTGTGGGACAGGACACTGGGCTGCTGCTCACCGTCTCTCCTGCAGTATGAGAAGAGCTGCAGGCAGGCAGCCACAGGAAGCAAAATAACTCCCAGCAATTAATGCCCGGTGACAATAGAGCAGCAGTGGAAAAGGAGGCCGACGCATCTCACCCGACTGCCGAGTTCTCTGTAGCAGTGCCTGAAGAGCAGGAACCTGCACGTAGTCAGTCAGGGGCTTCACCACTGCAGTGCTGCTGAGGCAGGCACATATTCCAGGCTCTCCAGCTTCCCTCCTCCCAGGCAGGCTCTGTGCAGCGGCCGCATCACTCACTCACTCCCCGGGTTCTGGTTCCCTCTCCTTTCCCGGGGAGCAGGAGGGAATGGCTGCAGCATCTCTGCTCAGCAAACAGCCTGTTCTGCAAAGGATGTGCCAAGTACTGGAGCAAAGTGCAGCTCAGCAGCATCCTTTCCTCCTCTCATCTCCGTGAGCAGCGAGGGGAGGGGAGGGATCTCAGCTGTGAACAGGAGACACAAACCAAGGGCTCAGTCTGCTCGTTTACACAGCAGCAGCAAATTAACCCAATCCAGCAGCTCCTGCCCACCCTGGCATCACCAGAGCTCAGGTCCTCTCTGAGGACACCCAGGCAAGACACCCAGGGAGTCAGGACCCCTTCACCACACACAGCCCTGCACTTCAGCTGCAGCTGCCTTCCAAAAGCACCAACAATTCCGTGTGGGAATGCAGGGGCCAGGCCTGGAGGAGTCCCTTTGGTTCCTGCACATGGCACCAGTGTGTGAGGGGGCAGGATAAAAGGGGGGTGGGCTCTTCTGTGGTGGCCACACCATCACCTGAGCAAAGCAGGTACAGGCACTTGAGAGCAGCCCTGCCTTTACCAGCTCAGTTCTTGTCCCTCAGAAAAACCACTGCCTGGGTGCAAAGCCCCGGGCAAACTGTCTGCACAGGGGGAGGCTCTGCACAGGCTGCCCTTTCCTGTGACCATTCCCCCCCATTCCAGGCCCTGATGGTCCCTTTTGTGTTAAAAGATGGCCAAACAGGGATTAATGTCAACTTCTCAGCAACTACTTGACACTCACAGGTTCTTTAGGCTGGCAAGAAGCTGAGATGCAGACTAAATTGTACAAACACTATAGGTCACTTTTCTACCTGAGTAAGTTCTCTTGCATTTCTTTTCCCTTTGTTTCTTTTCCCTTTGAAGTTCCTCCAGTTCTGTTACTTCCCCACAGACCAAAGCAGACGCAAAAATCAGGAAAAAAGGCTGAACTACAGTTTCTAAAGGATATGACAACTGAGGATATAGAGAAGGTCCTAATAGAATATGAAGACTAGGAAATCATAGAATTTTATGGTGTGTTTCCAACTACAGCTTTAGTTTTGTGTATTGTACCCACGTGGACAAATAACACACTCAAGCCTAGAGCCCACCTCTTAACTCCTTGGGAGCCAGAGCTCAGGGCAGGAGCCACAAAGAGCCCAGCAGGGCTGGGTGAGGAGCTGAGGGGGGTCAGGGACCCTGCCTGGCTCTGGGGAGCCTCGGCTGCCACAAAGAGAATCCCCTAAGTTTGCTCTGGGAACTAGGAGCAGGGCAGCCACTGCCACCAGCTCGGGGCACCTCCACCAGGTTGTCGAGCCCAGGAGTCTCTTGGGAAGCTTTTCCTTTTGCCACTGCTGCTTTTCACCTGCTAACCTGTTTGCTGGCTCGTGCAGCAGGCACTGCATTCCTTCTTTCTCCACACTGGGAGAAACATGTGAGACCTCAGTTGTCTGGTTCTCTTCCCCAGGCAGCTTTGGGCAGTGTCGCCAGAAGCTCCAAACAAAGGGCTGGGGAAAAAAGCAGCAGCATTAGGGAAAAGGGACATTTAATGAACTCAGAGGGTAGAGACGTAAAAGCCAAACTAAGAAAGAAGTTATTAATCACAAAACAGGCCTGGGACATACTATTACAAGGTAACATCACAGCTCAGAGCTCAGAAGAGCTCAGGAGAACTCAGAGGTATAAATGCAAGTGCTCTGAGTGACCGTGAGGGAGACACTTTCCAGAGGAGGTGCAGAGCTCATCACCACGTGTGCCATCAGCTGCCAAGCCAAAACAGCCTCACTCCGTGGGAAGGCTGTTCTGCAAGTGCAGACTCCAGTAACTAATTGAGTGGCCATTCTTGGGGGCCTGGATATGCTCAGGCAGAGAACTTTCCAAAGTGCTGTTCCTGGCCATGTCGTTGATACAAACCCCTCTCCCTGCTGCCCTCTGTGTTACTGCTTGAATTGCAAAATATCACCAGTGCCTGCCAGCCCACAGAGCAGAACAGAGGAGTAGGTAGCAAGACTCCAGAGAGCCCCAGGTTCAGACTCCATCTGTAAATCAGAGGGATTATTGATCTAATGCCCTTTAGGTACAGCCTGAAAGGCACCAACAGCATCATCTGCCATTGCCAGAAAAGGAAGGAGCACTTGAGCAGATGAATCACTTTTACCAGTGCAGCTGAGACATTTGTGCTTTTCTAGGGCTGGAAATGTTTCCCTGTTCAAACTCATTTTCCTTATCACCTTACCCAGAGCAATATTGTATTCTTCAGCCCCTGACTGTATCCCTGTTATCTGCAGCTGTACATGTGCTGTCAGAGCTTCCAAACACTGCTACCCCATAACGTCACAATTCCCTTTTTACCTTCCTACTGCACCAACATTTACTGCTTGGACTCACTGGGCCCTGTGCAGGATTTGTGATGAAGGTTCTTGAGGACAAGGATCAGGTTTCCAAGCAGATCAAAGTGCCTGTCTCACAGCTGGACAGACAGAGAGATGATCAAGGGTGTCTGCCACGGCCTCTAAAGACACTGTTTTGTTCAGTGCTTTCCTTTGTCCCCAGCCATCACCTGCTGGCTCCTTGCTGTCCATCCCCAGCCAGCTCTGATCACCTTCTGGGGACCAACTCCTGCGACTCTTTGCTCTCAGGAGCATGTTCACCAACACAAAGCAAAGGAGGACAAGGACACTCCGAAAGCAGCTGCAGCCTCGCCTGCTTCAGCCTGCAGGAGATTTTTATCGGGAGGGAACACAGAGCAGCTTGAACCTGCCCCCTGGAGAACAGCTCCAGCTCCTCCCAGCAGGGCTGACTGAAGCCCTGGTGCAGGAAATCTGCTGTCCAGTAACAATTCAGTTCTTCCCATGTGGCACTCTTTTTCCTTTCCCCCCAGATTCCAGGGGAATTTCACCCCATTGAATTCGGAGCTTTGGCCCCCCTGGCTGGCAGCCTCTGGAGAGATGCTGAGCTCTCTGACAGGGCAGCAGCAAGTGCTGCCTCCTGAGTGGCCTTTGGTGTCAGTGGTGGTGCTTTTAGAAACACCTGTCCTGAATTTTGACAGTCTGATTTAAAAGGACCTTAACTCACCGTGTCTTTTTTTTTTTGTCCAACAGTGATTTTTATCTTCTTTGGAGAAATTGTTTGGGAAATATCCAGAACTGTAGATGTGTCATATCTTGTTGCTGCTTGTTCCTATGGGTTAAAATGGGAAAACAGAGGATGAATATTTCAGTAAACACACTCTCTCCTATAGCTGGAAGGTACCACAGGCATCTATTAGCCAACATGTGAATAGAAAAGGAATTTTCAAGAGCCTTATTTAATTTTTTGGCACAGAACACCATGTTTATCGCTTTTCCCTTGAAAACAGATTATTTGTGCTATGATAACTCTGTTATCTCAGTCATAGACTGAGATTCTGCCACGTGACAAATGACAAACACACCAACAACAGAGCCCCTGTCTAAAGAGTTCACAGGGTAAAGTATTTGGCAAGGGAGAACAAACAGATACTGACAGGGGAATCTTTGAAAATTATCACACAAAATGAACAAGGTCATTATGTGCCAGTTCCACACACAGAGCTGTCCTACAGCACAGAACCTCCCATAAGGAGGGAAGCACAGGAACAAATTCCTGATTCTCTCTGCAAGGCACTGCAGCTGTTTCAAGAGATTAAGCATGTAGCTGGAGCCCTGCCTCGCTCTAGGTGAAAATCAATGTTTGGTGAAGTTGCTGAGATTCTCTGTATTCGGGGCAAAAGGATTTTACATTCAAAGCTCAACTTCAGGCAGCTATTTTTAGGTAAATTATTCTGGCTGACAAGCTGTGAAGATAAAAGATGCTGCAGGCCTCACCTCAGCTGCTGTAAACTTGGTGTGCCTCAGTCAATCTGCATTCCTCTGCTACTGCAGAGCTCGCAGGGATCTCAGCAAGGAGCTCTTTCCCTGAGCTGGGAGCCTAATTAAGAATGTTCTCTGCTTTTTAGCTTTGCCCAAATTATCTCACTGATGAGCTTTCAGAAATCACAGAACCCTCCGAGATCATTCTCCTTTTGGTCAGTCCCTCCCAAGAACCACCACTCCGGGCTCCCAGGCAGTAGTTTGGTGCTGTGGGTTGCATTCCAGCTCTTCCCTGCGTGTTGAGAGCTGCCAACAGACATTTTGGTCCCCCCACCAAGTAATTCAGAGCAAAGGTGGCAGTGCTGAACAGAGCAGCTCTCCCCTGGCCCCAGCACGAGCAGAGCTGCTCCCACCCTGCTCTCAGGTACCAAAGGTCCTTGCACTTCAGGACAGCCAGATTTCAATTGGCAAGTCTCTCAAAAAAAACCCACAACCAACCAACCAAACACCCAACAAACCAAACCCCTTTCCCCTGTTCAGTCCCTCTCTATGGGTGGGATTTATCATCCCACTGGCCCACAGGAGCAGGGGGTGGGGGTTTGTTTGTTGTCATTTTTTAACCAACAAGCAGTGAACAGATTATTTGATCAAATAATGGGGTTTACAAACAGTTCCACTTTCTCAGGACATCCTCGTGAGGGCCCCTCTGTGGCAAAGCCTTTGGGAGGTGCCCGTGGGTGCTGGGGCTGCTCTGGCTGGCAGAGATCTCGGCAGTGAATTCCCAGTGTCACCTCCCTCCCAGGTGAAAAGGCCAAGAGGGAATCGTGTTCCCAGGGCCAAGGACCAGGGACAGCTTTCCCCAGGGAAGAAAAGAAATCCACACCCACAACTGACATCCAAAATGGCTCAACATAATTTATTTTTTATGTTAAAATGTACAGAGTTCTTTTGAAAGTACTTGCTAGAAAGGGGAAAAAAAAGTGATATTACATACAAGGAGAGGAAGGGAGACCATCCAGCCAGGAGCGTATGACATGGAGAATTACAAAGGCATCTAGGCACCCCCTTCCCCTTAGCTTACAAGTCACCATGAACAAAGTACAAAGAGGTTACAAAACAGGAAAAGCAAATATAAACAGACAGGAATAGACTCAGCTTCATTTGTACATGCGGCTTTTAGAGGCATCTGGAGCTCCTATTCACACACTCTAGAGATCTCTTTAAAGAGAATTTTATCTTTCTTAAAATAGTTTTTAATATTCTACAACAAAGATAAAAAATTTTAAAGATGGAATGAAATGAAAAAGCTCTTATTTTTAAAAGGCATCAAAGTCACTAACTGTGAGATTTTTTTTTTTAATTTCTTTTAGAAGATTACCCAAGTTATCTTGCTAAAAATACATTTTTTTTTTAAACAGAAGTGAAAAAATGGTAGGTACCAATATTACTGCGTTGGATAATTTCTTTTTATATATAGAAAAGAACTTTTTTTTTCTACAATAGTTCTACAGTCACAAAGGCTTGTGGAAAAGGGAGCTGCCCAATTGATAAAAAAACCCATACAAAACCAAACCAAACATAACAGCAAACAAACTAAATTCACGGCCCTCATTTCAACAGCTTCTCCTCCTGTCTCAGACCCACCCCCACCCCCAGGAAGCAGCGACACAGCTGAAGATCAAGGAAGAGAGGGCAGCACAGTGCGCTTTCTACACGGGTTATTTGGAACTGGAATAGTATATACAGAGAAACGGGGTCCTACACAGCCTTGTACATGCTCAAAATTAAACAGAAATAAAAAGTGGAAGTCCTTTGAATTCTGCCTTTTATGGTTAGCAGTTACTGGAGGAAAAGTCCATTTTAGTGCATCTGAAAAAACCCCAACTTTCTTTTAGACTCTTTTGGTTTAAAAACAAAAGAAATTAGTCTTATTAATGTGTCTGTATCTCTACTTCATATACAATAAAAAAAGAACTTTACATTAAAGGGTGTCCCTTTTTGTACTGGGTGACGTGCCAGCAGTGTAGCCAAAAAGAATGTAAATTGGATTATGCAGCAACAAACAGCAAAATCCTGCCGCCTCCATCCTGCTCCGGTGCTGGGACGGTTTCACTGCTGTCAAACAGGATTCCCTTCTTTGCCCACACTAGATCAAACGTGTGGCTATTCCTATAAAATGGGTATCAAACACAGAGGGAGAATCAGGGAGCACATCACCGACTCCCCCAGCGAGTGGCACATTCAGCAACTTCCTACCCCGGAGCAGAGAGGGAAGAGGGCCGAGGGCCCCGCAGGGCTCCCGCCCCAGTCACCAAACACTTCTCTTCCAGCACTTCCCGAGCCAAGAGAGAACTGGAAACAGCTGCTCCCGAGCTCAGCCCGACCCCGAGGCTCAGAACCAAGCCCCTCAGCGTTTCCAGGGACACACCAGAGCAGTTTGGGGCTGACTCCAGGTGCCCACAGGAGCCGTGCCCACGGCCTCGTCCCCGCAGACATCGCCCTCCCGTCCCCCCACGCAGGGGGACACAGCCAAGCTCTCTCCTGAGGTGCTTCCAGCAGTCCCGTGCCAGGACGTGTGTGCATCCCTGCACACGTGTGTCCACGTGCATGTCTGGGTGGTGAATGGGATCACTTTAAAGTTACATTATATTTTCAGCATGAAACATACAATTTCAATTAACTCATCTACAAAAACACCAATGTGAATAGTTTATTGTTTACACCTAACTCCAAATTTTACTGAGGGTGAGGGAGTCAGGGAAAATACAAGATTAAAATTTTTTCCTGACTTGCAGAAATAAAGATCTTCATTTATCCTCTGTGTCCCCTTCCAAGTCTCCCAATAAGTGCCTCCTGCTAGAAGTAGGAAATGCTAAGTGGGGTTTAGAGGGAAGGGTTGTTATTCTTTGAGATGTCAAACATTTTACATGGCTGCAGCACTAGAAACTGCATACAGAGGGGCACAGGGGAGGGAGAAGGACATACATTTTTTAAAAAATTTAGGAACATGATTTCACTGTTACACATAGTCTGTCCACTTTGTCAGCAAAGTAAGGCTCTTTTTAAATTATGAAAAGATTTTGTGCATGTTTTCCTCTCTAAAAAACATCTGTAAATGATTTTAGCTGTAAAATGTTTGAGGATTGTGAAGAAAACAAAAACAAACAAATAAACAAACAAAAAAAAAAATCAAAAAAATAAAGACCAGGCTTCCTAAAAAATAAAATAAACCAAAGAAAATCCCTCTAAATCTACAGCAATATTTTAACTGGAAAAAGGTCCATTTTCTCTGGTTTGTCAGTATAAAAGGTTCCTTTATTTATATATATTTCAGTTTTTAGGACGCAAGTTCATCTTGCTCATCTTCTCATGTATGGTCCATTGAGGGACTGCTTGGGCACCCCGGCAGCGTTCATGTAGCTGTGATGGGAGGGGCCAGTGTACATCATGTTCCCGTGAGGGTTTGGCTGCATAGGCTGCTGGGTATAGGCCTGGCTCCCCATCATTCCCATCTGCATCTGCATAGGATACTGTGCTGTCTGGTTCATGTAGGCAGGGTTGCTATGGTAACTGCTGTTCATCATGGGCTGCGTCATGCGGTAGCTGTTCATGGCGTTCAGGGTGTTCATGTTCATGGAGTTCACGTTGTAGGGGGCGGTGGGCATCAGGTTGACCCCCATGTTCATGCCGCGCTGCACGGCCAGGGCGCGCGGCCCCGCCTGCATGGCCACGGCCGGGGGGCTGCGCCCGTACAGCTGCTGCTGGTGCGCGGGCGCCGAGGGCAGCGGCGCCGACTTGGAGCGGATGGAGAGGTGCCCCTTGACGGGCATCTGGCCCTGCAGGCGCTGCGCGTGCGGCAGCCCGATGTTGGTGGCCGACATGTTGCACTGCAGCAGCGGCGACGTGAGGTTCATGGTGGTGGAGGCCAGGTTGGGCGGGGGGGTCATGGTGGCTTGTGCTTGCGGGGCGCCGGCCAGGGGGTGGGAGGGGGCCAGCTGGGCCAGCCCCGTGTTGGACAGAGAGACGCTGGTTGCATAGGAGGTCACGGCAGGAGAATGGCTATAAGGCATGGCGTGGGGGTCCATTATGGTGTTGGTCAGCTGCTGCAGCTTGGCTAAGCTGAACGTGGCCGAGGGCTGGGAATAGCTCCCGGCGCCGAAATCCCCCGGGATCCTCTCGTAGATGCTGATGTTACCGGTGCTGCCCGACTCGGGGATCTCCATGATCATGGGGGCCGGGGTGAAGCTGTTGTTCATGCTACACTGGGACAGCGGCGGCTTGCTGCTGCGGCGGAGGGGGGGGCTGGGGCTGCTGGGACTGAGGCTGCTGCTGCTGGGGCTGTGTCGTTGGTTGCTGGTTACTCGGGGGCCTTTCCACCACACAGCTCTGAGGTGACTTGATATTACAGTTTGCTGCAGGCTGGACAGTGTTTTGCTGCATCATGCTGCAACTGCTGCCAATGTTTGCCATTTGCTGAGTGACAACACAACTGTTCTGAGTGAGGCTGCTGGAAGAAGACAGTCCTCCGTAGGAACAGCTGCTCTGGGAAGAGTTATTTCCACAAATGCTGCCTCCCATAGTGGAGTCGTAGCTGCTGGGGTTTTCATAATTCTCTGTAGTGCTCTCAATGCTGCCAAGGTCACTGAAGCCACTATCCACCACCTGCTGGGAGTGGTCCGATACTGAAGGCACATCCATCATGGGGCTGGTCTCCATGTTCTGCATAGAGGGTGCGGACAGGGATCCTTGCTCAGGACTGATCTGGGTGTAGCTGCTCTCCAGAGCAGGCACGTTTGGGCTGCTGACAGAACGCACAGACTGGCTGGGGTGGGACTGAACAGAGGATATTGGACTGTTGTGTTCTGAGGCCTGGCAGTCTTCAACCATTGATATCTGAGGGTCCTCCTCGGTCTGGGTGTAACTCTGCAAAGTCTGACAAGCTGCAAGAGTTTCCTCACAGTCCTGGTAAGCTACATCGTGCTCATTGCTTTCCTCCTGTGTCAAGGACTGGACTGCTTGAACAGTTTCAAGATCTAGTTCACTATGAGGAATCTCTTCCTCTTCCTTTAATTCAATTAACCCTTCTTTATTACTTTGTTCTTCTTCGTGATCATCCTCAGACCCAGGGACGTGCTCTGAGCCCACTGATGTCTCGTTGGAAGCCTGCTCTTCCTCAGAATCTGCCTCTGCTTCATCCTTTTCTTTTGCATCTTCTCTACTGCTTGGTATGCTTGTTTCTAAAAAACATTCTTGCCCCTGAGGCTCTTCCTTGACCCCTTCTCTAACAGGCTGTTCCTCCAATTCTTTTTTCTTCACTGACTCCAGATGACCATCATCTTCGTCGTCAGCGTCGTGATCTTCATTTTCATTTGTCACTACTGCAACTTCCTCCTCTTCCTCATGGTCGTGCTCAGGTTCATCGAGTTCTTGCTGCTCTTCTTCTGATTGCCTCTGCTCTTCTAAAACCCGTGGCTTCTCCTCTACCTCCTCTTCTATCTCAGGCTCTTTTACTTCTGGCACTGGACTGCTGTTGCTGTCCACAGGAGAAACTGCTCTTACTTCATTGCTGGCTATATCTTCCTCTTCTCCCTCTCCTACCTCTTCTGCTTCCATGTTCACATCTTCCTCTTTCCTTTCCTCAAGGAGAGGCAGGTCTTCTTTCTGCTCAACACACTCTTCTTTATCTGAAATTTTGGGCTTACGCCCTGGTTTTGAATTAGCTGCTGCTTCATCAGCTCCCTCATCCTGAACTGGTGGTGGCACCTCTTCCTGGGTCAGTTTAAAACCTGGTTTTCGACCAGGTCTTTTCTTCCAGTGGACTGGTTTTCGGCTTTTCCCTTTTGGCCATCCCTTCTTCTTTTTCAGGGGTGTGGAAGTATCTGGCTCCAGTGAAGAATCCTTTGCTTCGCATTTCCTCAGCATAGACAACGGTTTCAGAGGGGGGTTACCTGAAAACACAGATTGAAAGACACTGTTCAAACGTTTGTGTTTGACCTGAGCATTCATGGGGAGCCTTCCCAAGCACACCCAACGTGTTTATCAACTCCAATATTAGCTTGGAAATTTATTGTGAAGAGCAACAAGGAGGATCAAGGTCTGCTCATTTGCAAGCACGATGCACACTGTATTTTCAAAGAACAACAGTGCTTTCAAGATTTTGAATGTTCAAATCTCTGAGCCTTTATACACAATTCCAATTAAGCTCTATGCTATACAATAAAGCCCTGAAAAGACAGATTTTACTGATAAAATATGTTCACAAGTGAAAGTGCTGCAGCGTAGGGGAACACGTGAAGTTGCAATAAAAACGTGTTTCCATTTAGATCTGTGTTCATAGTATTTGTTAAAGCATTAACACTTAAACCCTTAAGAATAAAATCCACCTCCTAAAAAAAGTAAATCACTATTTCTCTTCCCTGTCTTTCACATTTCATATCTGCTACAGCAGATGAGATTTATCACATTCACAGTAAAACTTACAGACTGAACAAGGGAAAGTAAAAAAACACAGTTCAGCCTATTACTGAGCTTCATCTTCCCCCCCACAACACTACTCAAGCTGCACAGAACTGGTAGAACATAGAGAAAAAGCTTTGTTTCCCACACCACAGAACACCTCCTGTCTTCTAGAACACCTGACCCTTATTAAAAACTGGCCTCAAATCCCCACCTGCATTAAAGGCAAAAGCAGCCAACAGCTCCTGTTTGATGTCAGGAACAGAACACCCTAAAATAGTGTGCTTACTACTCATTACTTCAGAGGTTCTGACAAATTTGCAGAAGTCAGGGGAAATTAAAAAAGGCAACAGAAATGAGACAAGGGAACAGAAAGCACTAAGTGACAAGTATTTATAAAATAGTTGAGCAAGAAATTTATCATTGTAGTATGTAACAGGTGTGAGTTAAAACAGTGGCTTTGCAAATACCATTTTTGATCCCTGGGCACTCTATGGACTATTTGCAGTCTGCAAAAGACAGTTAAAAATCATTGATTTATTTTATAAAACAATATATGCGAGTGGAATCTCTAAAGGGATCTGCATCTCCACCAGAAAACATTCAGAAGAGCACAAAAGACTGAAAACAACTGATCTAACAGCTCTGTTAGACCCTACAGTCTTATTAGTGGTTGCTGGAGTACCACAAGAACATATTTAATGAGTAATCTGACCACAACAGAATTTAAAAAACAATGGTACAAGATGACTGTGCATCTATTCCCACTAAGCAACTTAATGCTCTATCAGCACGTGTTTGAACTAAATTGATAGTTCTATGCTGTTGTAAGGATTTAAGGGGAACTGATGCTAAATAGATAGTAAACTGTGCTATGATCATATTGATGCTTTTAGTATTTAAGTACTTTTAAAGAAAAATTCTCCTCTGGTAACCACAGCCTCGTTGAAAGCCATGAATTAATGAGTTTGTTCCAGTAACAATTTTTTATTGTGGGATAATGGCACCATACTTGTTTTCCATACAGTTTTTTTATTTGGCTGACTGTTTTGCACTGTGCAGCCCATCAAGAAAACAGCCATAACGAAGATTGCTAATGGAGCAGCTAATGACAGATGCTGCTTCTGTGGACTCTACACAACCAGCCTCAACCAAATGATTTTATTTTGTGAACTGAGGGTTCAGAGAACTTCGAGGAGATGTGAGAAGCTGAGTGCCTGAACGTGCAATGTGATGACGAAGAGGATCTCAGAAGAGACAATTTAATATTTCCCCTTGTTCTGGAAAATTGAGGGCTCCCAGTTCATGTTCATTTTATCTCTGTAAGTGACCCTGCTCCGGAGGTTCTTCCACAATCACAGATACAAATTCCATTAGGAAAGCTGAATCACAAGGACAAGCCTGTGATCAGCTCATGGCTAATAAGATAGTTAAATGCACGCACCACATTTTCATAAAACTTGGGAGTGCTTGAGGTTAGTTTGAACTGGGAATTTATGCCTACCCTACATTTGGGCCAGAAGTTACAAGGCAAGGTAAGCAACTTGTTCTGTCCTGAGCTGTTATCATCTCACACAACCTATACCAAACTTTCACCAGCATAGCACCAAACATACCAGTATTGTCATCAGACTCCTCCTCGTCTTTGGACTTCCTCTTGGAAGAGGGTCTGTGCCTGAGCGTGTCTGCTGGGGCTAAGTGCCGAAAGTATCCACTGGACAGAAGTTCACTCTCCTCCTCTTCGTCCTCCTCCTCCTCTTCCTCCTCCTCGATCTCAAAGGTGGGCTCTAACCGGGGCATGGGCCGCTCGGAGTCGGAGTCCTCGAAGGGCTCATCCAGCACCTCGGTGGTCTCGGAGATGGTCTCGGTGACCACGCTGCTGTTGTGGTGCTTGCGCTTGCGGACCCGCCTCTTCCGGTGCAGGATGGGCTTCTGGGAGCGGGGTGGGGGGAAAGAGAAGGCATTTCAGCAAGTGAGGCAGAAACACAACACTGATAAACACGGAAAAAAGGACCGGCAGAGTTCAGCGGTCTGAGCAGGACCAGAGAGCTCCCTCCTGGAACCCAGAGTTCACCAGAAACACTGATGAGCACCTGCCATCAGCTGGAATTTGAACAGCTGAAGTTCACAGCCCATCCATAACAGCTGGAGTTTAGGGACACTACAACACAGAGGTGAACAGTTTAGAATAAGCTGCGAAGATGATATAGGAGAGAACCTTTTAGTGCAGCTTCCCACAAAGAGAGGATCTGCTTAGTCATGTTGATAGAATTCACATCTCCACCTCCACAGTAAATAATTTCAAAGACTTTATGCTGTGATTTCAGTTGTTTAGAGAGCATTTGTGGTTTGCAAGCTTCTTTCATAAGTAGGACCATATCTCTTTCTATTTTGCATAACTGAGTGAATCTTTAATAACCAAGGCAGAAAAATAACCCAAGGCATGAGATAGAACTAAAAAACCCCAAACTCCTACCCAAACTCCTACCCCTGATTCAACAAAATCCACCACTAAAAAAAAGTCAGTAGGACTTTAGAGAGAGTTCTGGAACACTGAGCACGTGCCACCCGTCCACTTAATACAGACCTCCTGAACTGCACCATCCTTCAGAAAGCCCCAACATCCTGACCAAACCCACTGCATGACACAGCCAGAGACAAGAAGAAATAAGGCACACACCTTCCGTTTCAGTGTTGGCTTGGTGAGGACGGGGGGAGAGCTTGACCGAGGGCTCACGGGCTCATCGTCCTCCTCTTCGCTGCTCTCACTGAAACACCTCAGCAGTGCCCTGTCGCTGTCGCTGTAGCGCCGGGGTAACCTGTCACAGTCCTCTGGGAATCGACACTTGGGGGGCTCCGTGTTCTTCTTCAGCTGCCCCCTCCACCTCTCCATGCCCTCGCTGTGCCGCCGGCGGGGAACTGCCGCCTTCTCCCCTTTGCCGTACTGTCCCTGGGAACCCGGGGATTTCTCCTCATCCTCAGCATAGCGGCCTCTCAAGGCTGGAGACTTCTCCTCACACTCCCCACACCTCCCTTGCAGGGCCGCCGACTTCTCCTCGCAGTCACTGCAGCGGCCCCGTGAGGCCGCCGACTTCTCCTCGCACTCGCTGCACCTCCCGCCGGGCACCGCGGCCTTGTCCTCCCCGGCCAGGGCCGGCTCCTTCTCACAGAAGGGCTCGCGCAGCTTTTTGCTCTTGCGGTTCCATCGCCCCCTCCGGGAGGGCTGGCTGTTGGCAGGAAGACTGTCCAGGGGGAAAATGTGCTTGTCTGGTCGTGCAGAGTTGGCCGGAGCGACGATGTCTGGCTTTTTTTCGCTCTCTGTAGGTGAGTAAGGCTCCTGCTCCTTCTTCTCCCATGACACAGATTTTACCATCTGATTTAAAGAAAAACAAACAGATTTCACACCTCCTATTTCAGCATGCATGTCTATCCTGAATTTGATTCCACAAAAGCTCTCGAGCAAAACGTCAGAAAAGTTTAACAAGAGTGACTTTTAAGAATCCGATATTAAAAAGAAGAATTGACCTTTATGAGATCCAAGTAGTGCCACCTGCTACTCCTTTCCTCACTGGTGATAATGCACCTCAGTTAGCCTCCCTGCTCACTGGCAGCTGGAACACTACCCATCACCTTGCTACATTCCAACACCGTGTTTGTGCCTTTTTCAAGAAAAAAGTGAGACAAACTTGAATCTATTTTCCCATTGAAATGCACAATTAGCTTAATGTAAATACAGTAACAGCAGATAATTTGCCTCAGTATTCTAGTCAGTGCTGATCACCTGGTGCGAGACTCCAACCCCTTCAAGGACTGTTCTCCAGACTATGCCTCCACATTTTCTCTATTTTTATTTTCTAACCTGAAACCATAAAGATACATCAACTTGTCATGACTGCATTGCTTTTTATGATTATGACAAACTTTGCATGTGAAATCCTGTCAGCACTGCCTGCAGAAGCACCAAGGGTAAACCACGTGCCACCCTGGAGTAACAGATTCACTCTTACACTGGTCTCTGGATCCTTTTCTTTCTGCTGTTGTTGCTCCTCATTTTCACCATCCTCAGTTTCCTCCTCTTCATCCTCAGAGACCACGGAGTTGGAGACGATGACGGGCGTCCAGCGCAGACATTCGGCGTCCACGTCGATGGGCCGGACGTTGCTCCGGAGCTTGGCCATGTGCTCCTGGATCAGCTTCTCCCGGCGCACGATCACGAACCTGGGCAGCAACGACACCCACTCAGGGACAGGCCACAGACACACTGCACATGTTGGCACAGGGAACAGATGTGTTACAGAGAAACCCGTGTGCTCTCCATCAGGGCTGTCACAAGTGACTTCAGAGGACACACAGCTCATTAAAACTGCACAACTTCCAGTACCATCAGACTACCAGAGAAACCATCTCACAGCTGAGGAAACACTAAATTCTTTCCATTTCTTGTTAATGGTGAAGCCTTTATCCTGCCATGGGTACCACTGAGCTGCACAGTATCACTTTTAGGACACTTAAATAGACAAGGGGTATGCCATTGGGGAACTGGTAATAGAAGGTGAAAGGTACTAAAGAACTGCTTAAAAAAGTTTTAGTCCCACTATCATAAGTGACTTTTATTCAGGGGGCTGGGAGCAATATCACTGGTTAAAGTATACTGTGAAATGAGAAAATAAAACTATTCTCAAGTAACTTCAAGTTTTCCAAATAAGTTTCAAGTTTAACACACAACAGAATACAACCCCACTGAAACTGCTATGGTCTGAAACAAGAATAATTCCCAGTATTTCACCTGACTTGTCAGCTGGGCAAGCAGACTACCTCTATTCTACACCCACACACCTCATTTCTCCCAGTGATCTATCCCACTCCTCAAGCATTCCATGTTATTCCACACAGCTCATGGCATTTTTGAGAGGCAGAGAAAAGGAGGGAAACAGCTCAGAAACAACTGTCTGCTCAGAAACTGAAAATGAAGAGCAGACCTCCCTTCAGAGAAGGGAAGCTGCTGTTCTTTGCTCTGTTTTGTGAGGATATTCCACTGATTTTGCTGAGGGACCCCAAGAGAACATGACCAAGAGACCAGCTCGCTTTCTCTCACAGCTGCAAGTTCCTCCCAGGTTCCACATCTGCAGTGCTACACAGCTGGACACCTGACCCAGCTCTGGCACCTCTGGCACTGTAAATGAGCATCATAATCTCTACAGCCACTGTAGTCTGAAATGAAATCAAGCTTTCTGCATGTGAGTTGTCTCCCAGCACCACTAAACTTCACTGCAACCCCCCTGAATGCACCTGGGATTCCAGAGGGCTCCTGTACTCACTGGTCACTGCGGAAGTCGAGCATTCGCAGGTGATGGAGGGTGGAAGTGATATCTTGGGGGCAGATCCCAGTCAGCTTGCTCAGTTTCTTGATGCTTAATTGCTTGTCACGTTGATGATAAAGGCACTCCAATATTACACTTTTCCAATAAGCCATGTATGAGAGGCGCCCCAGGTCTGACAGGGGCTTCTCTGGGGATCCTGCCTGACCCTCACGCTTGGAAAGCAAATAGCCTAAAGGACACACAGGGAAAAGGTTACAAAAAATACCTTCTGTTTCCACCCCAACTTCCACAAAGGCATTTCTCCAGAAAGCAGCTGAATGCTGCCTACAAGATACAGATGGTAACTGTGAAGGATACTCCAAATTGTTCGGTCAATTTTTTATTTGTTTGTTTAAACTCCTGTTACTCAAGGCTCGAGTGTGAGATTTGTGAGCTCTGCTGGCATCAGACACCGGTTGTAGGCAGTGCCACGAGATGGCAGCAGGAGCCTGCCCAGACACTGCACCCAGCCCAAAGCACAGCTGCAACAGCAGTTTTGGAGGCGACAGAGGAAAAACCTATTTTAGCCATTTAAAACTAATACATCCACTTCCACTGTTAAGTCCTTCTTTAAAACATGGAAAGACAAAGACTAAAAAAAGTCAAGTTTCTTACTGAAGTCGATGAGGAACCTGCCATAGCCCTTACGCTGGTATTGTGGAAGAATCATTATACAGGAAACGTTGTACTTCTGTTGGCAGTGTTTTTCCTGTGGGAAAAGAAAAGCAGAAGACCGGTGAGAAATAGTAGAAGTTGTTCTGTACAAGCTCCTAAGTAATTTTATAGCAAAAAGTGAGAGGGGAAGCCACAAATAAAAGATAAAAATCTTAAAAAAAGGCCTATCTGAAATCTTGGTCCTGTTCCCTCAAAAAAATAAAAGGTTTCAAATGAGGTGCAAAATTGCCAAACTTGTTTGGAAAACAATGTATTCACAGAACAAAGGTGAGACAGAACAGTTGGTAATTCTGTTTATCTCACAAACAGTACTGCCCATCTCCATCAAGAGCAGGAAGTCATTTGAGGAGCTCTTCTTTAACCACTAGCTGCAGTACAAGTTCCTTAGCAAATATATGCTATTCAACATTCTGAGGAAACCTGGTTTTACTAATTTGTGGTCTCTGAATGTAACATAAAAAAAAATCTGTTTGAAACAGATGTCTACACCTGTATAACATAATTTATCACGTAAAATGCAAGAGCCCTAAAATTACAAGAAGTAAAGACTCCAGAACAGCATTTTCCAGCACAGCAAACAGTTTGTACTCAAATACTCACCTTGGAAAAGTAGCCAACAAGGTGACAGCCCTTGACATCGTTCTGTGTCAGCACGTAGAAAAGAAATGGCTCCACGTCGTAATAGAGAGTCTTGTGGTCCAAGAAGAGCTTGGCTAACAAGCACAAATTCTGGCAGTAGATAGTGCTGACATTGCCATCAACCTTACAGACAGGAGGAAAAGCTCTGTCACTCCATGTGCTGTCATGCAAGCTCGTGCTTCACCTGAGTGTCCCCGTGTGTTTAAAAGGCCTTAACATGAGAGGAAGACTCCTCTGGTACAGGTGGTGTCTCAAAGGACTAAAACTGCCCCAGAACAAAGGCTGTGGCCAATTCCTGTTACATTCATTAGCTTAAGAGACAACCTAAAATTAATTTTCCTAAAACGAAAGAAACACATTTTTACAAAGTGAGTTTTCTCCTGTTTTGTGGATGAATAATCTATATACAAGGTCAGTTCCCACTGCCTGCTTGCTCGTAGTTCTTCACTCCTGGCAAGTGAATGTTTCAAGAACGAAGATCTTTTGGGCTGTGAAAAACTTATCACACAATTTGGTGCTGAAGATCCTATTTTACAGATAAAAGTGAGTGACTCAGTTTTCTAACTTACCTCAAAGACTGAAATATTGTTTTTCCTGTAAATTTCATTGGCTGGAGGATGAAACCAGCCACATTTTTTCATATGCTGTTGGAGAATAGTTCTGCTTTTCATATACTTTAGACAGAATTCACAAAGGTACAACTTAGGTAGCCTGTAAGCAAAGGCAAAGGAAGGTCAGAGACTGAAGATACAAACTTCTGTATAAAATTCCTCACTCCTGCAGATTGAGAACCTGATGACAACAAACCCAGTGTATACTGACCATGTGTAATGTGCTAATGATAGGCAAAACCACCTTACCATAGTTAAAGTCATGGCATTTACTTCTTCTGTAACAAATGCACATTTAAAAAGTGTCCTAATGTCCTGCATAATTACATTTACAGCATTAAGTTATGCCAGAAGAAATAGAGGCATCGATTAAATCCTATAAAAGCAAAGTAACCCCTCCCAGTTTTGCACAGTGATGCTGGGATGGATGAGATGAACAGTTCCTATTCCCTCCCTTCCCTCATCCCCACAGACATGTGGGTCACACTGCCATCAACAACTGCAGTGCCAGTGTCCTGGGACTGCTGGGCTTTAACTCCAGTTACATACTCCAGCTTGGGCAGGAATGCTGTTTGCAGTCACCTCCAATGTCTTTAGTACAGCTGCAATAATTCCTCATGACAGACCACGTGTTCTCATTAAATGGTGAATAAAGAGTTTCACTTAATTTTCTTTCTCTAGTTGTAGCCCTTAGAAGTCATTCCTCTTTCAGAATAAAGTTGAAGTTCAAAGAGTTTGCAGTTTAAACAGTTTGCAAAGGCCTTAGGTAAGAGAACCTCAGAACCACCACACATGCAGCACAGCACAACAACCCTCCAGACACCAAAATGTGTAAGATTTCTGTGCCAGCTCTCCCATAAACACTGAGGCAGAACCAGAGTCTTACCTCGAGTACTCCTGGGGATATGGGGAGGAATACCAGGTCTGGATCTCATATTTGCCAAACTCAATGACAGAAGGGCAGCGGACCTGTGGGTCGGGAGGCCCAGTCACCCCTACTTTCTATGCAAGGGGAAAAACAACAAACAAGTTTTCATGAATTTCCAAGTGAAAGACTTCTAAGCTGAAACAAATTAAAACATCCTTATCTACACAGTCCATCCTACTCAAACTCAGAGAGAACCAGCAAGAGGCAGATGTTGTTTTCTGACACTAAACCCAGTGCCAGTCACACTTCAGGGAACCACGTGATTCACAAAAAGAAAGAATTATAAGCATTGTCACACCACAAACCTCCACTACCTTCCCCACTGCTGCATGTCATAGTTTTAAATGCAGATTAGTACACAGTGAAGTTTAACACAATCTTTCTTTAGTCCCACTGTAATTTCCTTTCTTGTTATTTCAATAGCCAAGAACAGAAACACAAACTGCTCCTGAGGTTAAAAACTGGAATATGCAAGTATTTAACCTAATGCATCAGTGTCTTCCCAGTTTTGAGACTGGATGTACTACTGTAAATGTAGCAGCTACCAAACCAATGTTCAGGGTGCAGCTACATCCTTATCATCACAAGTGCAGAAGAATTAAAAACTACCTCACATTTATAAGAAGAAAAAACAGCAAAAAGAGTACTTTTTAATGACTTATACATGCTTTATTTCCTTTCTGCCCCTCTGATAGTAACTGTATCTATTATGGCACCCAAAAATAAGGAAACTAAATGCTCTGCTTTCAAAGAAAACAAATGTTTTCTTAAGTCATGAGGATTTTATCCCAAAATGCCAAAATTTAACTTTACCTGCAGTGCTTGTTCCTGAATATCTCTGAACAACTCCATGTCTTTTTCATTTAAGACATCCTGGCTCCCAAAAAAACGGTCCTCATTTTCTTGTTTTCCATCCCAGCCATCCTGATTGTCTGTAAATAAAAGAGAAAATTGTCTTCACCTACATTTACAAAAGAGTTCTTGCTTTTAGAGCACTGACAAACAACACCTGGTTGTATTCAGACACCCTGCCAGGATTTTTTGATGGGATTTTCTATTCAGATTTGGGACCACAAAGAAAGAACCAGAAAAGCAGAACTGTATTTAGAAGAAGGGAAGGGGGGCTTTCCAGCAAGAAGATGCCAAACTGCACAAACAGGCTCCTCTATGGCTGAGAAATCTAAGAACGACTCACGAGCCCAGACCACAGATCAGAAACTCACGGTCTGTCAGCCTGGTTTGAATCACCCATTTCCCATTTCCCACTTCTACACTGCTGCTCTTATTTTCATTAACCACTCTCTATGTTACCTCTTTCAAATGGGACATTATTTAGCATGTTTTCTAGGGCATTTTACCTCACTGTCATCATTCAATCCCCCAACAGACCTTGCAATCACATATAAAGAGGCAAAGGTCTCTAGGATCACTTCCTTTTTCCAACTGGTTCTACCTCAGTGCACCAAAGATAACTGCATTTGAGTGTCAAACTTCAGCTTGGTGTACAGGATACTTACATTGGCAGGGTGAAAAATCTTTACCTGTGGGCCATTCTGAAGTGCTAGATTTCCTGGTACCCTTTTTCCTGATCCTGTACTGCTGAGAATAGTCGACCACCTCCCCTCGAGCTTTCCGTCCGTCAGGGGAGGGAGTGAAGAATTTAGTAAGGCCATCTATGAGCCCTTTGGTTTTCTTGTTGAACTTCAGGGTGTTGCTGCCATCTCTGCAGAAGTCCAGGACATCTGCCTGCTCCAGGTACCCCCCTTCTGCCCCTGCTGACTGGCCGGACAGGGCGATCTTGCGCTTCCGGCCCCGACCGGGCCCCGCGCGGACTTTGCTGAAGGGGCCTTTGGACCTGGGGGTGAGAAGGGCAGAGATGGGGCCAGGGGAGCTGGGCAGGGGCCTGCCCTCCTCTCCAACTCACCTGTCAGCCCCACACAAACCACACATGAACTGAAGAGTTTAAAAATGAAGCAGCCAGAGATCCTGTGCACCCCACAGGAGCCAGCATTTAAACACCTCAGGAGAAGCACTGCACTGGTTTTCTCCACACTGAACATTGTGTGAAATTAATCTGAGTATAAACGAGAGATTTTCACCAAATTTAATACAACATCAAATTTTAGAATTGGTAACCAGAATGAATACACTGCACACGAGGCTTCAGTTTCTGCAGTCATTAAACATGAACACTTGTCATTCGTCAGAGTTTTGCACTGATCAGGAATTGTTGTAAGAACTCCACAGAAAGTTAAGACGTGCAGGACACAAATTACCTGAGAACCTACACCACTGGTGGTCATCTTAGCTGAGGACAGCATTCTCCAACCAGTTGCCATCTTTCAGGCTGGAAATTTTAAAACCCTGCTGAGATGGAAGCATTCAAGAGGTGTGTGGTGTGGCTTGGGGATTTGGGTAGTGGTGAACACAGTGGTGCTGGGATAAAGTTGGACTCAATGATCTTAGGGGTCCTTTCCAATCTAAAGGATTCTATGAGAGAACTGAGTATTCAACACTTCTTAGAGGGATTGCCCTAGGAGTCACTTCTAGTCTTTCACAGCCCTTTTCAGAAAATCTGTATTAAAGAATAATGAGCAGCTCTTAATTGTAAAAGAAACCTTCCCACAAGGTAAAGCAGACACTCCAGAAATACCCCCTGTCCTCCAGAATCTCACATTTTCCTCTTCCTTGCAGAGACTTACGCTGTGTTTTGATTCTTTAGCCTGTTCTTGGGCCGCCCTATGGGGTTGGCATAGCGTCTCTTGATCTGGGCTGCCTTCTTCTGTAACAGTTTCCTTCCTTTCTTCCGGGGCCGACAGATCTGACATATCCACATACCTGCAAGGCACAAGCCCCCATCACTGAATGCAAGAGACATCTACACAGGACAAAAAGCAGAATTACAGTCCACAGGCCTTCTGAGAGTAAGAGCAGGAATGACTCGAGTCAATGCTCCCCACCCCCCAAATAGTTCCAAACGTGAAGGAAATCTCTTTAATTGGCAGCACATCACCAAAAAATCATAATTTAATGGTTAATTATCCCATTATCTGCTTATGACTGTACTACTTCCAACTATCTTCTATAGGAAAATTTTCTTATAACTACCAAGGAGGAATTTTCCATAGATAACCTGCTTTCTGACTGAAAGTTCGTTTGTCTGGGAGACTCTACTGTCCAACTGGATGTGACTTCAAAAAATTCTAAATCCATCTCTTTCTTTTGGACGAGGCTATTCATTCAAATGGAAGTTGATCCTTTTAACCTGCAGGGATCACTTCTACTCCTTCAAATCTCAAAGATTTTTTTTCAAAACCCTTCACAGACAGTAAAGTACGGGAAGCAGGAGATAGTGGAAAATCTGGATGTGAAGCTCTGACCCTTCTCTGGTTTCTAATACCTGAAAAGCAATTCCATAAAAAACAAGCCAAATGCAGCTAAAAGTAGCTAAAAGAGGACTAAGTAAGTGGAAGCACTGTCTACCCACTGATCTCTTCCCACATCATCTTAAAACCACCCTTTTCATAGCACAGTCCTCACCTTTTGGCATCCTGGTGAGAGGAGGGTCGCAGCATTCCATGTGAAAGCCACGGTCGCAGGAGTCACAAAAGAGCATGTTATCCTGGGGAAGACAGAGGGAGTGAACCTCTCCTGAGATGTGCACCAGCACCAAGCCCTCCTCTAACCTGTCACCATCCCAGAGAACAGGCACAGGTTTTACCTACAGACATATCAAGGTACCCCACAGGTCTCGGAAGGACTCCCAGACTCAAATAAAAGCTGCAAGTCTTTGCCTCTAGACTGTTTTACTGTGTAGTTTAACAGACCAGCCCCAGGGCTGTGTGCCCCTGCTCCAGCCCCAGCCCTGCACTCACAGCATTCTTGCCCTGGTCTCGACAGGAGCTGCAGGTCTTGCACTCGATGCACTGCCACCGCAGGGCCTTCACTCGCACCGTCAGCTCCGGGGAGAACTTCAGGCAGGACGGATGGCCTGGGGGAACGGGGCAAAGCACACCAGTAAAACCCTTCTGCTGCTGGAACGGTCACAGAGAGCTCACAGACAGATTGCTGCATCACTTATGTGCTCCCACGCAGAATTCTGGTTATCCAGATACTCCTATTTTTAGATGCTTCTATTCCCATCTACTTATAACACAAAACCAATGCCCTAGATAGCAAGTGGCAGGTCCACACACAAAAGAACACAAAGGTAATTCTTCATAACTGAATTGAGAAACATGATAAAACTGGTCTTTGTTGCCATATTTTTAAAGAAACTTCTAGGAGCCAAATGAACTATTTGAGGCTGACTGAACTGAACTGTCTCCCCTCTGAAAGCACAAGATCCAGCTGAACTAACTGTTCTCTGCCCCAGCAGCATATTCCTCACAGGTCTGGGTCAGCAGCAGTCACTACACGAGATTTCTCTGTGTTAAATGGCAAAGGTCCCACTGGTGGGTCCTCCCCGTGGGGTGGGACAGAAGCAGGCACTGGACAAGCTCCTCTGTCCCAAGGGAAGGGAGTAGGACCAGCAGCTCTGTAAAGGGTCACCTACCACTGTTGCCACAGTCAGCACAAGAGATGAGCTCTTCAGGTTTCTTCTCCCGATTTTGCTCTTTTGTACCAAGGCAGAAACTGCAAATTGGAATTGGTTCAGCAACAGGCTGTGAGGAAAAGGGACAATAAAGGCACTGAGTAACTCGAGGGAACAAACCCTAACACACAAAGTGACACAGACATTTACAGATCATCTAAACTGTTGTGATGTACAGCACATCTCACAGATTTTACTTGGTTCTCACACTCAATACAGCACTGACTGTAACCTGGACAGAAGTTAGTACTCCAAAGTGTACAACTATTAACACCATCACTTGTTTATGTTCAGTTCAGTCAGATGTCATCATGAAGTTTCACAGAGAATCTCAACTACATTGTAACGGTCCTTCAGACAGAAGGGAAAAACAATATTTATTATAAACTTTAGTGGGACTAAACATTCAAGAGCATCAATTTCCCTGCATGTATGGCTAAATCTTACATTCTTACACAGTTTACTGGTTTTTAACTCATAGTTAAGAGCCAATGTGACATCAAAGTTGCACTATGGAATCACAGAATCACAGGATGGTTGGGTTGGGAAGGGACCTTAAAGATCATCCAGTTCCACACCCCTTCCACTACACCAGGTTGCTGACATCCCAAAAAGTGCCCCACACAAACATCAGTTCAACAGTGCAGCTGCATTATCACCACCAGTGAATGCTGTTGGCATTTCTGTGCTGACTTTTTGATCTGAAAGACTACAATATTTTCTTCCCAGGAGGAAACCATACATTTTGACCCCCTGTTTCTTTTTTATCTGCCTCAAATCCATGAGGGTTATTTTATGGGGGGAGGGTACAATCCTCTGTAAGAAACAGTATTTGTGCACACCCTGTTCATCCCCATAGTCCTTCCCATTTGATGTCCACATGCAAACACTGCCTAGGTTTGGAAGAACCAGATTAAAGACTATCCTTCACAGCTCCAATGTTTCCTGTGTTTACCACCTCGACAAGCTGCAAGCAAAGACTTTACCACATTTAAAAAAAAAAAAAAATCACCTACAGATGGGGGGAAGGTTCTACCACCATTCAAAATGTTTTAGAGTAAGTAACTAAATTGGAATAATTTTGAAGGTGGAGATCAGGCTACTCCTCCAAAAGGACTGCCCTTCTGTGTGAGACTGTTATGCTAAGTATGGAGAGATTTCAGTGCTGCTGTGTTTGTTCAGCAAAGAACATCCTGGCAAGTGGAAAACGCAAGCACACAATGAAAGATTGGTGAAAACAAGACTGGAAGCAGCCAGCTCAGTTTTATACTGCGAATTTTTGGCAGACATTCAACTCCTTCTGCTGTTTTGCTCGCGAGCACATCTCTCTGTGTGATGTCACCGGATTCGGCGAGGGAGGCAGCCAGAACAAATTGGGCTGACAGTGTCTTGCAGCCTGCCAGCCTCCAGCACATGTTGTTACTATACAAAGGGGATCCAGGAACCAAATGTGCTCCACGGAGTCACCCACGGGGCCCCCTCCCAAAGGCACCACGGACAAGTGCCCATGGAAGGAGTGTGTCTGTGTGTGTAATGATGTGACAGTCCCAGTCTGGCCCATCCAGCTGCTCTGTGGCCCTCCTACTTTAGGAACAGGGAGGCAGGAGCTGCTCAGAACTCCCAGCCCAGCCTGCAGCCCCCAGTGTCCCCGTGGTCACAGTGTGGATGGACTTCACTCCCTGCATTTACCACCACGGGATCACTGGGCACCAGCACTGCCTGTGCCCACCATCACACACAGGATCACTGGGCACCATCACACACGGGATCACTGGGCACCAGCACTGCCTGTGCCCACCAGCACACACGGGATCACCGGGCACCATCACACACGGGATCACTGGGCACCAGCACTGCCTGTGCCCACCAGCACACACGGGATCACCGGGCACCATCACACACGGGATCACTGGGCACCAGCACTGTCTGTGCCCACCATCACACACGGGATCACTGGGCACCATCACACACGGGATCACTGGGCACCAGCACTGTCTGTGCCCACCATCACACACAGGATCACTGGGCACCAGCACTGTCTGTGCCCACCATCACACACGGGATCACTGGGCAGCAGCACTGTCTGTGCCCACCATCACACACGGGATCACTGGGCACCATCACACACGGGATCACTGGGCACCATCACACACAGGATCACTGGGCACCAGCACTGCCTGTGCCCACCATCACACACAGGATCACTGGGCACCATCACACACAGGATCACTGGGCACCAGCACTGCCTGTGCCCACCATCACACACGGGATCACTGGGCACCAGCACTGCCTGTGCCCACCATCACACGTGTGCTCCTGGGATTCCTGGGGTGGGCTGAGTGGGTGTGTGACTCACACCAGTGTAAAAGGAACACAGACACTCACACCAACACTTCTGTTCCTTTGCTGTGCTCTGTAAGCCCTCGGGGGGCACTGAGAGGTGGCTGCTGAGAATTCACACCAGGTACTGCTTTTCTGTGGGGCTGTTTTCAAACAAGCACTACTCCTCACTTCAAATAGCCCACACTGGTGCAAAGGTCTGCCTCAAAAGCTGAAGCAGATGAACCAGAAAAGCCAGAGGGGAACTACAACCTACACCACATGAAGAAAATTATTTAAAACATGAGGAAACATGTTCCAGTGAGGAGGGCAGCACAAAGCCTGGATTCCATGCCTTTTGGATCAGTGGCTGGGGAAGGAAACCGCTCCAGTTCCATGCCTCAATAAAATCAGAACCAAGGAATTTCAGATTGTCAAAGTAATTTTACTAATCATGTGGGGTTTTCTGTGGTATATAGAGAAAACTGGATAATTTGGGAAATACTATTCAGTAGTATCAACCTGTGGCAGCAATGGTTAATAACTAACCCTTCTTCTGTCTAAGCTACCAAATCACAATTTTTAATGTTCTCTCCAGACAGTATGGTGAAGAAAAAACATGAAGCAACACAGTAAAAACAGAAATTCCATAAAATACTGTTTGTGCTCAAGAAAACAATGCTAAATATATTTGAATACACCCAAGAAAAACTGGTACCATAACACGTGTGCATGTTTGCCTGTGCAAATGGATATTGTCCCCAATTCACTTGTTGAGTCTCACTTGAAAGAAAGCAGCTTATTTATATGGCAGAATGATGGCCTAAAACATGAGGCTACATTAAAACAAATGTAAGGAAGGAAAGGAAAATTGTATACAGAAGGAAGGACAAGCACAAAATACATTCCTCTTCCTAAGAGAAACATGTAAGGGTCACTTAAAAAGAAAAACCAAAGGACATTCGAAGTAAGTGCTGCTGTTTGAGGAAGGACTATTACAATGGGGAGAAAAGCTGAAATGCTGCTGCTACAAGAGTAAAGTCAAGTGTGAAGGCCAACAGCTTGGATATTAGTGAGGTACATACAGGCTGAACTTTATGCAGTGCTTACTGACACCTGGAAACCCCCACAAAAAAGCAACGTGGACACTCCGGGGCTGCCACTCAATCTGAAGAAATTGCACGTGGCAAGAACCTCACAGGACGTCAAGTGGAAATATTTAGACAGTCAGTCGTTAAATAACCTGCCCAGAGCTAACAAGTCCTCTAAGCAGAGGATTAAACCGGGCAAGATTTGTTCGTCACAATCAGGATCACATGCCAGGACTTCCTGCCTGCAGACTGGGGGTGTGGAGGGAGGACAGGCTCACATTCCTGTCTCTGCAGTGTAAGGAAACTCCCTCCACTGGACACTGGCTCAGGAACCTGGAGGTTCAAGGCACTGAAGTTTTCTGTACCCAAATTTAGATCCTGGGAGCTCTCTCCTGCACTTTGTCCTACCTTAGAAAATAAAGGATGCTGTCTTGGGAGTGATAGATGATTATATCACTCTATTTTAGATTAAAAAATGTATAGGTAATTATTCTATCTTTAAATACTGTCCATTGCTTTACATCAACATCAGCTGCATCCCTAAAAGAAGGGAAAGTACTTCAGTTAGAAAACAAACGTAAATGAACAAAAATATTTAACAGAATGCAGGGAGCCACATAAACATGATACTAGAGAAGACACAAAAGGAAGTGTGAATGAGCATTTTGTGCACATGAGAAATATCTACCTGGTTCCTGGCTGCTATTTGCAGTTTACCCAGGACACCTACACAAGTGCAACTAGGACACCAAATCCCACTCATTTTTTGGAACTCTACCAGCTTGAACACAAAATGGAGAGAACAAAGGAAAAGAAATATTCTACATATTTATCTACATACATATTTCTACATATTTTTAATTCTACATATCCAAATATATCCTCACTATCCAAATCCACTGTTGACAGTAAGATTGAACAAAATGCCACGTTCTTGACCCACAGTCCTCCTGCTGTGCTGTCCTCTCTCCCTGCACCCTGCACAGGCACAGACCAGTCCCAGGGGAGCAGCCTCACACAGCCAGTGTGGCAAAACCCCAAACACATGCAGAGAAAACCTCCTCCCAACAGGTCTGCTGCTGAGACCACCCCTACAGAGGCATCCTGAATTTGCAAAGCCAGGTAAAGCCTGTGCCGAGTCAGCTTGTGCATTTCATGGATGTTTATTTTGGAAAATAAATATATTTTTTAAGAAATGGGTAGCAGCACAAAGCCAGGGCATCTCCTTGCTCCTGAGCTGGCACTCAGGGTTTTGCTCACAGCTCAGTGATCAGCAGCTTCTGAAGCTCAGCCATTGCAACACTCAGCAGCAGAATCACTTTCCTTCCTTCCACGCACACCTTCAAGGAATTCACTATGAGCCCAGACAAGTTCAGAGATCCAGCACTACAATCAAAACACTCATTACTAAATATCCAGATTTGAGGCTCAAAGACTGAGGAGAAACCTAATCCCTGGGAGAGGTTGTATACTGTTCAAGAATTCTAAATGAAGTCAAACCCATACACACACACATCCACAGGCTGTATCCAACACCAGTTCTTCGGGACTTTAAGATCAGATGGAACAGTTTAACAGAAATGGGATGAAATGTGTAAAACCAGCAATTTCTTTTACACCTTCAGTTTTGGCAAAATTTCCATTTTACACACTGATAAGTGGAGATAAACTGGTGACTCGAGTTGCAAAGGCAAAGATTCCGGGAAATTAAGAGGTCCATTCTCACATTTTTAATAACACTTGTGCAGGTATTTAACTGTGTACCAAGATCCATAATTTGTTCTATCCAATTTCCCGAAATACAGTGAACTCACAGAGGTATTGATAATTTAAAGTTTTACTAATTCATAGGTCTTCACAGAAACATGCTTGGAAGATTCAGTATTTTCATCCCTGAATTCGTGGTTCCTGCCCAGATTGGTAACTGACCTTGCAAAGGACCTCAAAACAAGCAAATATATCACAAATGAGACTGTTTGCAACACAAGGGTCACTCTCCTCAGACACCCTTCTTTCTCTTTTCCATCTCACTGCAAGTCCAGCTTCACAACAAGAGCAGTGACAGTGGGAGGGCTGCCAGACCCTTGGCCAGTGGAACAAGCAGCAGCATCCCATGCCAGCAGCAGTTTTAGGAGCTGCTCCAAGGAGAGGTGCTCGTGTAGTGAGAAAAAAAATTAGTGAGGACAGAAAAATTAAGTCAGATTTACACACCAAATAAAGAGAAAACCTAAGCAGGTGGAACAGAGCCTAACATGACTGATCACAACTCATTAGGATAAATGCAGTTTGAAATGCTTGAACAAGGCAGGTAGGAAGAAAGCCCATCCACCCACCTACTCACAGAGGACAGAGGCTGAAGTCTCAGCAGTCCTGCACATTGTGTTTGTTTACCAGATTGTGTTGACTGTGTATTCGTACTTATTTAAGAAAACTGAACCTATATTTTGATGAAAATGACAGCACTTCCTTTAATAATGATTCCTTTTTAACTGTTTTTCCTGCCACCACTATGACTTAAGACAAAATTGCTGGAAAACAAGGGGAAAGGCAGGGACAGGATTATCTGTTCTCATTTTCTCTGCTGTTTCTTCCCTTCCTACATAACAAAGCTAACAGAGGAATCAAGCTGTTGTTTATTTATCAACATTCTCCATCATCCACCCTCCTCCCTGTCTGACTAGATTTTGAAGCTCTGTAGTAAATACAGTTCCTTTATTAACCAAACTTCAGAGATGTGTCATTCCATATCTGCCAACAGTCCCCAGGACAGACAGGACTGACACACTGGACATATTGGACTGGTCTCCTTTTTAACCAGGTATCCTCTGCCCAGCTGAGCCTGTGTCAGAGAACACTGTTACAGACACATCCTCCACAGTGGCACCTGCTGACACAGGGAGCCAGCACACACCTGATGTCCTCCCACAGTGACAGCTTTGCTCTGAGTTCCCAGGACTGCAGACCCTGGCAGAGCCCCCCCGGTGCCATCCAGCCCATGGCACCCACTGGCAGCTGCCCCTGACAGGAGCATTCCAGACCTGCTCTCCTGGGCTCTGAGAGCTCCTTCACCTGTTCACTAATCGAGTGAATAAAGTTCAAAGCCATTTCTTAGCACTGGTTTCCAGAGTTACCCAGTGTACAGATGGAGGCCATCTGTTATCAACCACGGCATTTTTGAGACAGAACTACAGACTTCTCTTCCCCAGAACCAGCTGGAGGAGAGTGAATCCTAATCCTCCTCCAGCTGGGAGCCAAAGCTTGCAGAGCACCCTTGGAGAGCAAGGGTGAGCTGTCAGGATGTAATTACAATGCTCTGGTTGCAGATCATTTCTGTGCTCCACCCCACACCAACCAACCCACAAACAACCCCTTCCCGGATCGGACAGTTCCTCTAAGACATGGAATTCACAGTTATGAACCTAAACCAGACACAACACAGCAGTAGCTATTCTATGCTTAAAGGCCTTCAAAACAACCATGACGCCCTCAGAGCACAAGAAATCGACAGAAAAACCAGTGAAATTCATGGGTTGAGATAAAGACAATTTAATAAGACAGGAAAGAGAGGGAAAATAACAGCAATGATGGTAAAATAATTCAAACCTCCCCAACAAGTGCTGCCCAGGGCAGTTGATGAGCACCTGTCCTCCTGTGAGGGGTGAGCAGTGGTTTGATGACAGCAGCCCTTATTTATTGGAGCCATGGTCAAGAGAGTCATGCCCACAAATGATAAAACTGTTCTTCTGAACCACCACCAACAAACATCAATTTTTTTGTCCAGAACAAGTAATACAGAAATAGCTCAACTCACATTTTCCCTTCTAAACTAGTTTTCAGGAAACTGAAAAGAAAGGAAAGGCCACTTCCCTAAAGCCTTAAAACTGGAATTAAAGACTACTCTCCTTTTGTAGGCCACTGTCACTATCAGATAAGCAAATTTCAGCAGTGAGCTCAGCCCATCAGGAGGGGTTTTTTCTGTTTGCTTGTTTTCATCCAAGTAGTGGTTTTAGGCCAGGGATTTCAAAACCATAATGTCAGCAGCATGTCATTACTACCCAGTAAACCAGGACAACTTGCCAGGTCTTTTGCCCTTGAACACTAGAATGTGGTATTCACAGAACACTGAGATAAAAAATAAGATCAAACAGTGTTTACTAAACAAAGCTTCCGTAGTGCTGCTTTATGTTTATTTTGATTAAAAAATTTAAGCTTCAGCTTTACAGATCTCATGCAAGGTGCTCAATTCCATAATACAGGGAAAATATCCAGAACTGAATGTCCACTGCTAGATATCCAACAAAGTGACAGTGACAGTGCTGTCAGACTGACTCACAGCTGAGTGGATGCTGCACTTGAATAAATGAAAGGAAAAAAATATTACACCTTTAAGATTCATAAATTTGGATCATATATGGAGAGTTTTCAAATGCATGTCAAAGATCAAACAGTGCAAGGATAAAAGATTAACAGTAAGCTGTTAGGATTTCTCAGATTTGGGAGGCTGAACTTTTTTGTTCATGTTACTGACAAGGCTCTTCTAAGAATCAAGAGAAACATTGTCACAATACTCCCAAAGAATCTGTACTGAGTATATTCCACTAAAGACAAAAATATTCAGAAGAATTTACTGAAGAAATCCCCTGCAGAATTTCCACTATGGCTACTGTGCATTCTCATGCTACCAACAATCCTTCCAGTGTTCAAGCTGCTCAGATCTGAACAGGTGGGAACATATCAGAGAGCATATCTAACAACCCAGACACACACACAGCAACTCCATACACAGATTTTCCCCAGAGGGACAAAAAAACAAATCCCAGACCAAATTCAGTATTTATGACACCTCATATCATCATTCACCACTCTGATATATCACTTTAAGAAAAGTGCAGGGAACAATTTATCTCAAAGAATATCAATGGGTCCTGAGTTTTGGCACTTCCCAAGGAGCCTGCACGGCCTGTCAGACAGACTGTGTTAATAATAATATGCACAGCTAATATTTTCCACTGCCACCAGCACTCTCAGTCCAGCCACCTCACGTGCCAGGCTTGCTTACATCCAGTTTTCATAACGTTTTACAGCTATACTGATCTCATTACAGATATGGCTGCAGATGTACACAGGAAACATTTGTAGACAGAGCACTTGAAAAAAGGATGGAGGAAGCTGCTGGAATTCTCAGCATAGTGATCCTGACTTCCTATGTGACACCAGCCCACAACACAACACTGACTAGATAAGTACTGTGGCCACAGGAGCCCTCCCACAGTTAAACCAGAACTTCAGAGAAACTTTACTGGTGATAAAACAGCTGTGCAGATTTTGTTTTAGGAAAAAGATTCCTACAGTGGTTTCAAATCTTCAAACCCTAACAGATTATAAAGCAGCCCTCTCACCAGAGAGTGAACCTGACTCCAGAAAACAGGAGCAGCACAGATGCAAAGAACTCATCCCAGAACAGGATATTTACAACAACAAGAAATTCCAATTCTGCTGAAAAACGTATCTTTCATGAACAGAAAACATAGTTTTTACATTCTAGATGTCCTGGACACTAGTGGTGCAAATACAGGAATGACTGGCAAATTGATCTTCAAAAAATAAAAAAAGACAAACTTCTGCTTTACTTTGCACCCACAGCAGCAGAAAGAATGGAAAGACACTGACTGGGTATGAATTGCACTCCAACAACTTCATCTTGAGGTTGGAGTGGAGGATACACAACCTTAGGCATGCAGAAGGATGGCAGAAAGGAAGGGAAGAAATAAGAGAAAGCAACAGAAAAATCCTTTGTTTGTATAATGAACTACATGTAAACTGGGTGGGCAGTGGCACAGGGTACAGAAGTCCCTGAGTGCTCATCCCAGCATTTCCACACTCTCTAGATCATAGAATGCTTTGGGTGAGGACCTTAAAAAACATCCATATCCAACTCCCCTCCACTAGACCAAGTTTCTTCCTATTTCACAACAAAGTGGTTCTGGGACAGAAAGGGATTTGCTCATTATGAACAAAGAAAGCCTCTAAGACAGCATTGGGTGGTAATTGCTAATCAGCACTTCACTGTGTTACCTGAATTCAAATGAGAAGGTGAACTGGTAGTCAAATAAAAATGTGAAAGTAAGAGATCATCTCAAATTTGTTTAGCAAATCCACCTCACCTTAAAGAGAGGAGGCTTTACTTCCTATGTTTTGCTAACACAACTCTGCTAAGCCTGTTACCATCCATTCAGTTCCACTGTACAGAAGTTAGGAGGTAAATTCCCCACAGCAGCTCCTTTGCAGTTTTCTGTTCCAAGTACTAATTGCAATCCATTACACCTCCTGTGATCCTGCTTAGAAATTTGGACACAGTAGGATCCTAAATGCACACTAGTAACTTTTAACTTACCAGATGCAAGTTAAACAAACCACTGACCTCAGACTGGGACTCTGTATTGTCACATCTCATCAATCACAAGAAAATGCCCAGGCAAAAACCGTGTCTTACCTTATCCTTTTCATGGGGAAGGAGACACACTGGAGGGAGACAGGAAAGAGACTCAAAACTCTCCTTCCCATCAGCATTAGTAGTTGCTTTAGTGTTGAGCTGGTAGAGAGGTCCATCTTTAAGGAGCCTGCCATGGCCAACAGCACGTTTGACAGCTAACCGTAATTGCTGGTGAAAAATGGAGGCAGCACTGCCCCCAAACAATGCAGACACATCTTTCTGACCTTTCAGAAAGCGCTCAATGTTCTTCAGGGATGAGCCACTGGACTCAGCCAAGCCCTCGATCGCCCGCTTGATGAGTTTATTCCAGTCCACATTTGGTTTACCATCCAACTTGCCATGATTCCGAGGCTTCGGAAGTGCTATTCTCCCAGGATTATCAGGATCCTTGTAGGAGTTGAGACCCTTGTTGGACACTTTTAAAATCGTTCCATCTTTAACACTCAGCTCCAACTGTTCCAGAACAGTTTTGCGGTCCAAGCCATGAGAAGACGACACTGCATTGCATATCCTCTCCTCCGAAGGCCGCTGTTTCTGCTTCTTTACCTTTTTGATTGCCTCCAAAATCCACTCTGTGTACAGCGGGTTGGCGAGTTTTACCATGGTGAAGGATTCTGTATATCCATAGAGTCGTTATCCTTTCTCCCGGGGCTGAGCGAGCGCCACGCGACGAGAAAACAGCCCCTCGAGCGCGGGGAGGCAGCTAACCATAGCATGCACCTTGTCTGCTCTGAGGCAACCCCCTCGGCCCGAACATCATCTGTGTGCACGCTGAAGGGGAGGAAAGGAAACAGTTAGAAACTTCTGCACTCCTTCCAACAGACCCCCGGACAACTTCACGGAAGGTTCTTCCACAGAGGCATAAAGATCTCAGCATTTCTCACCTCAGCTTCTGATCTGCACACTCACAATCACAAGAACTGTAACGTTAGGCCTGGAAGAAAACAAGGAGAGAGATGTTTCCAAAGAACAGTTAAGAAGGAAAAAAAAAAGCAGCAGACAATATTAATTCATTAAACATATAGCAGAGTTTTAAGCCACTACTACAGCTCTGAAATACTCAAGTAATACTTCAGGTTTTATCCTCACTACTAATAAAAGCAGACTTTAACACTGAAGCATCTCCATTCAACCCACAGAAAAAGGCTGTGTCCTTTCCATTTTGATCAATAAGTCAGTATAAATTCTATACCAAGTTTTATATCACTGCTAAACACAACTTAATATTTTGGGGGAAAAAAGAAAACCACAACAAAGATGTTAAAAAAGCTGCAGGTCTCTTCATTTTTGCACATGGAAGACACTGCCTGAAACCTCAGCAGAAGGCGGGAATAGCCAAGAGTCTTGTGCAAACAGCAAGAAACTTGCAGAGCTCTTCCAGGAGTGTAATCATAGGTCTGTTTGCCTTCTGCTAAGAAAAGCTATGACAGTTGTTCCATAAAGAAAAAAAACCGAAGACACAGCTGGAGAATGTAATCAAACATTCCACTTTCAGAGACCATAGAAAAAAAGAATGTAATGTAATTTTCAGTATAGATGAGGCAATCTGAAAACACTTGAGGACACAGTAACAGGTGACCATGCACAGTGAAGAAGGAATGCTTATGACACTGCTAATTAAAGATGCTAATGAAAGGGTATGAGGCTCTACTTCAGAGCATTTAATAGTTATCTTTAACAAAGACCTTTTCTAAACGTGATAACAGTCTGTTGTGCTGAAGTTCTACTGCAGGAGCACAGTAACCCAGAAGGGTCTGTAAACTGTTTACCACAAGGAATAATGATTTTCTGCAAGCGAAGTTTCAGACAAGAGCTAAGTTGTCAACACAGTTTTCCCGTTCTCCTTTCCAGTAAGCACTGAAGAATCTATCAACACGCACAAGGCATTTCCACACAGACATCAGACTCGACAGCACAGCTCCACACGGCCGGTCCCGGAGAGATCCCGACCGGCTTCCAGACCGGGAAGGACGTGGGGCTTGTCTAGAGTTCTCTCCAACAGACGTGAAGGGGAAAATGGTCCCCGAGACGTGCCCTCCTGCCCGAGCGGAGCTGCGCTCGCTCGGTGCCGCTGCCCGCCGGGACGGCGGGGCCCGGGGGATGCCGAGCCCGGGGGATGCCGAGCCCGCTCCCGGCACAGCTCCGTGCGCAGGGGTTACGTAACCGCCCGGCCAGGCCCGGCCGCAGCGGGACGGTCCCGGCACCGGGGGTCTCTCCCCCGCTCGCTCTCGCCGTTGACAAGCGGCCCCTGCACCTGCTACCGCCCGTCCCCTCCGCACGGCGGGCGGGTCCCGCGCCCCGCGGGGCACTGCCCCGGCACGGGACCCGCACCGGCGGCATCGGGAGCGGCGCGCCGCAGCCGCGGCCGCCCGGCGGGCCCCGCGCCGCTCCCCGCGCTCCCGGGACACGGGCGGTGCAGCCCGGCCGGCTCCTCGCAGCGGCACGGCCGGGCCCGCGGCCGCCCCAGCCGCGCTCTCCTCCCGCGCCGGGCGCGGAGCGCGGCTTCAGCCCGCGGCCGCCCGGCCGCTCCGCCCGCCTCCCGCGCCGCGCCGCGCGCCGCCGCCTGCCCGGGGCGCGGGCCCGGGGGGCGCCGCGGGGAGCGGGCGGCGGGGGCGGGCCTGGCGCAGAGCGGCGGCGGGGCCGGAACAGGCGCGCGCGAGCCTGGAGCGCCCGCCGGGCCTTCCCCGTCCCCAGCCCGCGGGGCCGCCGCCGCCCGCCCCCGAGTCCCCCCGGCGCCAGCCGGCCCGGTCGGCGCGCGGCCCCGCCGGCGCTACTCACCGAGGTCCGCGAGCGCCGGGCCCCGGCGGGCGAAGGGCCGGACGGGCGGCGAAGCCCGAAAACTGACACGGCGGCCATCTTGGGCCCGGCGCGCTGCGGCGGGCGGGGAGGGGGGGCGGCGCGCGGGCCGGAACAGCCCGCGGGGGGAGGGGGGCGCGGGAACAGCGCGGGGGGCGCGCGCGGCCGCCGGGGGGCGCTGAGGAGCCGCGGCTGCGGCACCGGGGGGGGCAAGGGCCGAGGGGGCGGGGCCGGGGGACAGAGGGACCGACCGGGGAACCGGGATGGAGTGAGGGAACCGGAATGGACTGGGGGAACCGGGATGGACTGGGGGAACCGGGATGGAGTGAGGGAACTGGGATGGACTGAGGGAGCCGGGATGGAGTGAGGGAACCGGGATGGACTGAGGGAGCCGGGATGGAGTGAGGGAACCGGGATGGAGTGAGGGAACCGGGATGGAGTGAGGGAGACGGGATGGAATGAGGGAACCGGGATGGACTGGGGGAACGGGCGGGGCCGCGGGAGGGCTCAGGGGTCCGGTTGGCGCTCGATGGATGCCCGTATCCTGGAAAGCAGGAAATCCCTCTCTTAGTCCTAATTAAACTTGCGCTGGGAACCACGAGTCTGGGCTTTTAAAGACCCCGAAGCGATGAACTCTGAAATAACGATACCATTTAGCTCGGAGAGCGGGCACTCCTTACCTGTGCCCGTGACTGTTGATTTTAAGGTCCAGGTTAAAACCAGAAAGGTTTGTGCTTCATGGAGAACCAAATGTAAAAAGGCTTTACATTGTTGTCAGTCTAACTGTGTTCTGTCTGTGGTATCTCTATGACTCCCATTAATACAGTCTCCAAGAGCCTCCTGGACTGATATGATAATCTTTACAATGTCTCTGTGTTAAAAGTAAACCTGCCCCTGGAGCAGTGAGGGACCTGTGACCTCCTTTCCCCTGTGACAAGGGCTGTGTGCTCAGACAGCTGCTCTAACAGGGTACAAAGGGCCGCTTTCCTGTTGGTTCTCTATTTGTTCCCAACAGTGTAGGAGGAAAACCATTTGTAATGGCATCTGCATGACTCAGAAGTCCAGGGATCGGCTCTGTGAACATGAAACATCTGTTCTAATTGCGCAAAGGAATCATTTGGCAGAGTTCAGGTAAATTTTGCACGACAACTGTCACTTTCGTGCCAGCTGGGTCGTGATTTCAGGGGTGTTACTCCTCCGTGCTGAACAGACCAGCAAAATAATACAGTGGAGATCATTCCCCCGGCTGCTCCTCGCTGCAAGGCCGGGTCACTCCCATGTGTCACAGACTAGCCCCGAGCTCAGCTCTGGAACATCCCTGAGGTCTCATCTGGAACATCCCTGAGCTCAGCTCTGGAACATCCCTGATTTCTGCTCTGGAACATCCCCGAGCTCAGCTCTGGAACATCCCTGATTTCTGCTCTGGAACATCCCCGAGCTCAGCTCCGGAACAGGGCCCCCTGAGGGCCCGTGAGGGGCTGGGGGGGCCGGGCCGCGACCCCCGTGGGCGCTGCCGGGCGCGCCCCCGACCCGCTCCCGCCGCCGCGCGCCGCACCGCCCTGTGCGTCACCGGGCGCGCGCCCTTCCCGCCGGCCAATAGCAGCGCTCGCTGCCGGCCCCGCCCACAGAGCCCGGCGCGTGTCTGTCCGCGCGCCGGGGGGCGGGGCCTGTCCCGGAGCGCGCGCGGCGGGACTCGCTCCGGCCCAGCCGAGCCCGGCCCGGGAGGGATCAGATCAGCTCGGCTCAGCTCAGCCCGGCTCAGATCAGCTCGGCTCAGATCAAGCTCGGCTCAGCCCGGCCCAGCCCCAGTCCCACCGCCCCCCAGCCCCAGCCCATCCCGGCTCAGCCCAGCCCCAGTCCCACCGCCCCCATCCCAGCGCAGCCATGATCCACAGCCTGTTCCTGATCAACGCCGCCGGGGACATCTTCCTGGAGAAGCACTGGAAGAGCGTGGTGAGCCGCTCGGTCTGCGACTACTTCTTCGAGGCGCAGGAGCGGGCCTCGGAGGCGGAGAACGTGCCGCCCGTGATCCCCACGCCGCACCACTACCTGCTCAGCGTGTACCGCCACAAGATCTTCTTCGTGGCCGTCATCCAGAGCGAGGTGCCGCCGCTCTTCGTCATCGAGTTCCTGCACCGCGTCGTGGACACGTTCCAGGTGCGGGTCCCGCGGGCTGGGCGGGCAGAGCCCTTCGGTGCCGCGGCCCTGGGGTCGCTCTGTTCGCCTGTCACTTCACTCGCATCCTGCACTGGCGAGGGGACAGACAGGGGCTTGCGGTGGTTGGGGATTTACTGCCAGGAATTACGATGGCTTCGGGACCCACCCGCGCTCAGGGAAAGGACCTTTCAGCAGTCGGTGTTCCTGCTCTGGCAGCTGGAACTAAGACCAAGCTGACCTTGTTCTCACGGGGAGCTCTTTGACGTGCTTTAGTCAGTTGGTGACACCCAGCCCCTGTGCTCACGTCCAGGGATGCTCCCTGGAATCCTCCTAAACAGTGGGGCTGCCCCAGAGCAGCCCTGTTCCCTCTGGGCTCTGGTGGACATGGTCCATGTAAGAAAATGGTGAAGATGCCTGTCCTTCTGCCTGCCAACAACAGGGCTGTGTTGCCCAGATTTGAGATGTCTTGTGACCAGCATCCTGACAGAACACAGGAAATGTGGTGCTTGGTCAAACAAGTGTCATGTGAGCTCTCCCTTCCAGATGCCAGTTGAAATGTGAGTGTATTCTGAGTTCTGTTCAGGCCAAAAAGGGATCCTGTCAGCCCTTTAGGTTTTGCTTTTTCTTGGGGTACAAGATGTGTGTCTTCACTGGCCTGGCCATTTATTAAAATCTGATATGTCTGAAAAAGAAATAGTGCTTGTAGTGCAGGACAGGAGTTCTCTGCTGTCACAGCCTGTTATTACTCATGCTTTGTGCAGAATGTCTGATCTCCTAAATTGCTGTAACTAACCAGCAGCTCAGGTGTGTGTTTGTGCTCTCTCCTGAAAGATGTGTGAAGTCCACATAGAGTAAGACTGTAAGGAAATTAAATGTCCAGTTTTAAAAATTGCTGAATTAATTGGGAATGCTGATGCAGGGATTTGGCAGCTTAGTGGGGCAGTGGCAGAGGGTGCTCAGAGCTGCACATGTCTGCTGGAGTGGTCAGTCTGTCTGCTCATAGAACCTGGAGTTTCAGTGTTGTTTCACCTCCTCCAAGAAGCAGCTGGATTTATTCCTGGGGGGGGACACAGGACTGAATGATCAGAAGATTCTCTTTCAGCAATTGTTGAGTAATTATTTCTTTTGCACAGGATTACTTTGGCGTGTGTTCAGAGGTGATAATCAAGGACAATGTTGTGGTGGTTTATGAGGTGCTGGAGGAGATGCTGGACAATGGCTTTCCATTGGCAACAGAGTCTAATATTCTTAAGGAACTGATAAAACCTCCCACTATCCTGCGGACAGTCGTCAACACCATCACAGGTACAGGGAATCAAGGAGCAGATAGACTGGGAAGTCCATGTGCAATATCCCTGCAGAAGTGAATTAGGACATGGGTGAGGGAAGTTTATGTTCCCTGCCATTCTAAACTGCAGCACAGGTGTGTAAGTGCTTTGCTTGGGGATCCTTCCAATTCCAGCACCAGCTGCACTTTGGGTTTTGGTTTGGTTTTGGGTTGGTTTACAGTCAGATTACATCCCCAGTCACAGCCGTGCCCTGACTTGCAGGATGTCAGTGTGCTGTGGGTTTACACATCCCCACATGTTCACACTTGCCCGTGCCTTACTGTGGTGTGTTTTAGAGCTGGGTGTAAGACAGATGTGAACTGTAGAACGCAGTGGGTCTCCAAGAGTAATTGCCCCCCTACAAAGGAACAGGCACTCGAGGGTTAATTACAATTAAGTTCTGTAGGTCAGGGGACTCGTTCTGGAGCACTGTCTGACGTCTGGGGGGTTGTGGTTGCCTTTCTTTTTCCAGGAAGCACTAATGTGGGTGACCAGCTCCCCACTGGGCAGCTCTCAGTGGTGCCTTGGAGACGTACTGGTGTCAAATACACCAACAACGAGGCCTATTTCGATGTGATCGAGGAGATCGACGCCATCATCGACAAATCAGGTATGGGAGCTGCTCCTGGCTGGCACGAGGGTGACTGGTCCTGACAGTGCCTGGACAGAGAGGGGGGTTTTCCAAGAGGGTCGCCTTCCTCCAAGTGTGGGAAGCTCTGTTTCTGTTTTACTCTGGAGTGTTGCCATCCTGTACGTGCTGCTCAGCCAAAAATGTCACAGAGGTACCACAACTTGTCCTTGTTCTTGAGGTCTCCTAAGCAATTTTATATTGGGAAAATAGAAGATGAGCAAATATTCTTTCTCTTTACTATTTGTGCATCTTAGTCTTGTTAGATTTGGGAGATACTGTCTTTGGCCATTAAAATGGACATTGCTAGTGTCTGTTCTTAATTGTTTGCATCTTCTAGAGAAGTCATTGGGAATGAGAAAAATGTTGAGCAGGCAACATAATGAACCATGACATTTCATAAAGATAATAGATTTCCTTCCTCCCCACTGAGGGTTTTTCCACTTTGGGATTTTTTTGACCAGGTTCACATAACCACCTGTTTGCTTTATGATTGCAGGTTCCACGATTACTGCTGAAATCCAAGGGGTGATTGATGCTTGCGTCAAGCTGACTGGGATGCCAGACCTTACCCTCTCCTTTATGGTAAAGCTCAAGGATGTGTTTTTACTGAAGTAATTTGAAAAGCATTTCCCAGCCCCCCTGCTAAGATCTGTCTTACACTGACAGATTCCAGCACATCAGACTCTGGGTATGCCAAACAGAAAGAGAAAGAAATGACAATGGGAACTCATAGTGAACCTCAGCAACTTTGAGCCTAAAAATTGTATTTTCAGGTTCTTTGTTTAAAAGCACTGTTTGTGTGTGCTGTGACTAAGTATTTGAGTCTTTAGTGGTGTTTTAGGCAGATATGAAGGGCCATCTTTTTCATGAGTATGTATCAGTGCAATTATTCAACATGACTAAATTTTCTAAAATATGGTAAAAATCACCCTGAAAAAGGATAGAGGTTGCTGAGTGCTATAAGGATAGAGGTTGCTGAGTGCTATAAGGATAGAGGTTGCTGAGTGCTGCTGTCACCCGGGTACAGCAGCACCAAAGAGTGTCCCGTGTCTGAGTACACCTTCGGTGGTCAGAGTGTCACAGGGTGGCCCTTCAGGGACAGGAGTGGAGGAGCAGAGAGGTCCTTTGAGGGGGCACTGCCCTCACAACCCCTGTGCTGTCTCTGCTGCAGAACCCCCGGCTGCTGGACGACGTCAGCTTCCACCCCTGCGTGCGGTTCAAGCGCTGGGAGTCGGAAAGGATTCTCTCCTTCATCCCACCTGACGGCAATTTTCGCTTGCTCTCCTACCATGTCAGTGCTCAGAAGTAGGTGATGAATGTAGTGCTGTGAGTTATGAAATTTGGATCTTTCTGGCCAGGGAGAGGATAAAAAAAAGGGAACTTTTAAAGATCAGGTGGTGTGTTGTGCCAAATGAAGTAGAGGGGCACGATAACTTGCATTTTTCCTTTTATAAAACATGTTTTCTCCTTGTTTGGAGCAGTGATTCTGTAATTTCTTTTTGGTCAGCCAGCATTTTTCAAAGACTAGCAGCAGACAAACAAACTAGAGAGGGAAAGAGTTAAGCAGTGGGGAGTAATCAAGCTGTTGATTTCCCGTGCTTATAAAAAGCTTTTAGAATCAAACAAGGTGAAAAGAATTGTAATCAAGACTTGAGAATGGGGTTCCAACTTTGCCCTTAGACCAAGCAAACGGGTGTAGGATTTCCTTCTCTGTTAAGGAGGTTGGTTCCCAATGTTCTCAGTGCATCGGGGAAAGCAAATACGAAGGCAAGAGATGGACAAGGACTTTCTTCTCTGCTCCAGTCTGGTGGCAATTCCCGTCTACGTGAAGCACAACATCAGTTTCCGTGACAGCAGCTCCCTGGGGCGCTTCGAGATCACCGTGGGGCCCAAGCAGACCATGGGCAAGACTGTGGAGGGAGTGATGGTCACCAGCCAGATGCCAAAAAGTGTGTTAAATATGACCCTTACACCCTCTCAGGGAACACATGTCTTTGATCCAGTTACAAAGGTGAGAGCAAAGGTAGAAATTAGATACTGGGGTTTTTTTAATTTTTAAGAAAATGCAGTCGAGCTGTTCCTGCTTCCATGGACATTTCCAGGAACACTGCTTTGCTGAAGGCAGGATCCTTTTTTGGGATGGGGTGCTATCTTTTCTTTTTCTGAACAATTGCATACTAGAAGTTTCCTCAATCCCCACAACAAATAGCTGGGTGTCTGAGTGGATCACAGTTCTGGTTACTTGGTGTGTGAAGCAAATGCCAGAACTGGTTTTGTGTGATGGGTCTGGTGGATGCCTTACAAACTTCTGCATATCTGGTTGTCATGCCTGGTGCTGCATGTTAGACTTGGTCCTTGGCAAACACTGAGGGGTTTGGTGGGTTTGGATTTGGTTTGGGGTGTTCTGTTTTTGTTGTTTGAGTTCATTTAAATTTAAATCTGATGGGCTTGTCCATGGGGCCTTTAGCACAAGTAGTGGAAATATCATTTGTGGAAGGCTTTTGGGAGGTATCTGCTCCTTAAGCCTGTGTCTGTCCAATATGTGTCTGTCCAATATGAAAGGCAAGGTACTAAGAAGAAAACATTTTTCACAAAGAAACACTAAAAGCTGTCACTGAAAGGGGACTCTTCTTTAGAGGGTGTTACAGCATTTCTGTTTCACTGCTGAATTTTCTGTTCCTTTCAGTTACTGTCATGGGATGTGGGGAAAATAAACCCCCAGAAGCTGCCAAGCCTGAAGGGCAGTGTGAGCCTGCAGGCTGGGACATCGAAACCAGATGAAAACCCCACCATTAACCTGCAGTTTAAAATTCAGCAGCTGGCTATATCTGGTAAGTGACTGTCAGGTAAAGGAGGGGAATGTTCTCTGCTGTGCCAGTGCCCATTCTGCAGGTAGCTGAAGTAGCTTTGCAGGCCTTCTACAGTACATTCTACCTGAAACAAGCAAAAAATTGTCTGCTTTGACTACAGATACATGGATTTGTTCTCTCTGGTGCTCTTTGAAGCAATTCACCTACATTTCCTTGCATTTGCTGCTTACAGAGCTATAAAGAATTTCAGGGTATGGATGTGTTTGTAAAGAATGATTCTGACATTAGGCAGTTGTCAGCTTTTCTCTGTTCTGTTTACTGCTTGCTAAAACTTCCCCTGTGCTTTCTGTGCCTCTCTCTCGAAGGCCTGTCTGCTTTGTTTGTGGCAGCAGCAGTCTCAGGCTGTGTTTGTTTGCCTTTAGGACTGAAGGTGAATCGCTTGGACATGTATGGGGAGAAGTACAAGCCATTCAAGGGGATCAAATACATGACTAAGGCTGGCAAGTTCCAAGTCCGAACCTAGAGGATCCAGGCAGTGAGGAAGAGCACTTCTCCTTTTCCCCTGTCCCTGGCTGTTGGATGCAGCCTCTTTCCCCATCCATCTGTTTAGGGTTGCTCCCTTGCCTGTAGTAGCATGAGCAGGAAAGAAGTGCTCAGACTGCTGGAAAGCAGGGGAAAGTAAGGCTGACCTGAAACAACCTCATCTCTTGGAAGTCTTTGGAATAATAGCAGATGGGAGAAGTGTTCAGGTCCCTTGGGATTACTGAGTCAGCTGTTTAAGCTTGTATCACCCTCATTTTGCTGTCTTAGAGGAAATTCCAGGTATTTATTGCCTTTTGTATCTCCTCTTCCTTGTATTTTGGTTGGCTTTTATCCCTTTGTAGATGATCCAAAGTTGAATTTCCACAAACTTCAACTCCAGTGTGAGGATCAGCACCTGCCCTTCTCCATCACTGTGTGTCAGGATGCAGAGCTGTACAGTTCTTGGCAGCAGGGAAATCATCTTGCCTCTCTGCCTCAGAGGGGCTGGAGAAAGTGGAAGGGTAGATTGTTCCACCCAGGATAGCTGGTTGAGAAGCCTGAGATTGGGGATGGTGCCACAGAGGGAGGAATGGAAGAAGTGGATGCTTCTTGTAGATACTTCATAAGCCATCTGGGTCGTTAAGTATCTTAAATCTCTGAACACAGACTTGAAATGCATTAAAATCTTGTAACTGGGGTGTGGTGGCATCTCAGTGTCATTCTGCTTCTCTGGTTATTTTATCAGTATTTGAAGGTAGGAATTCTCCCAGCTGCCTTGGGGAATCAGACAAGACAGGGAGGGGAATTTTTGTGAGGACACAGCACTGATGGAAATTGCAGCTGTGAGTAAATGAAGATAATCACTGTCCTATAACTTGTTGGAACCTCTCTCTGCCCCTGCTTGCCTACTGCAAATGAAGGCTGTTCTCCTGCTCACTGGTGTCCTTCTCTGACATAATTGTGACCTGGTACCTTCGTAGTGTTCCTGCCTGTCCTACCTCATTCCAGTTCCTGTCCCAGTCAGGTGCTGTGGATTCAAGGGTTGCCCACTGGGACCATCTCCTGTGCAGGAGCTGTTGCTCCATGTGCCCCCCCAGCCTGTGGTACCTCCCTGTGTACAGCAGAAAGAGGAGATGGGAGGCACCTGCACTGTTGGTGGTGTCTGGAACAGGCTCCTTGGCCACCACATCCAGGGTGTTTTCCCTGTGGGAGCAGAACTCGTCCCTGAGCTGCTGTGCTGTGACCACACGTGTGGCTGTGGAGTCCAGCATGGACAGCCCCTAAAGGAGGGGTGGCATCCATGGTGGGGGGTGTGATGGAGACTTGAGTGGCATCTTGCCTGTGGAGCTGCAGGTTCCAGGGCTCCAGAGGAATGCCAGAGCAGGTGGCATCTGCTGAGGTGACATTACTGCTGAGCATGTTCGGTGCAAATAAAACCTTCAACGAGGGCATCAATAAAATTAATTTTTACATGTCATCTGTGTCATTTCAGTGTGGTTTGTGCAGGCTTTACAAGAAATATGGTTGGTATTTGAGGAGGAAGGTAAACTATGCCAGTTGGACTGTGAGTAGTGGGTGCCTGAGGGAGATAAATGTCTTTATGCAGTTGGGATTGTAAGCCAGGGACTAAGTCACTGTCTGACAAGCTAAAATTCATTACTTTCTTGGTAATTTTTCTTAGTGTTTCCCAGAAGGAGTGCTGAGCATTTCCTGGAACCTCAGTGAAAATGTCTTTAGGAGTGCAGCTGAACCATTTTTGTTTACTGGGTAGCAGGCTCAGGGTAGTGCTTTGATTATAAAGACAATGAAATACCTCATCACCTCCTGCTCCTCAAGTACTGATCCTGCCCTCTGGCTTTGTAGCTTTGTTTTTTAAAGGATCTTTTCTGCCCTGCTGAAGTGATTCATGTTACTCGAGGTTTGTTATGTGCATTAAGGCATCTGGCCCTTGAGCCAGGCTCTCTGCATCAGTCCTGTGGGATGAAAGGTGAAACAGGGCAGAGGGGGGAACAGGGGAACAACATTAATGACATGAGCTGGTTGACAGAAGGATTTTTGGGGAGGGAACATGAGGTGTAGCTGTGTACCTCAGTCACCATAAATGCTGATGCTGACCTGGGTTCTGAAAGACCTTGAATGTGACAATAGCAACTGCAGAGGCAGAGGGAAGCAAGCAAGCAGATGGCAGTGGCTATTCTTAGACCTTGTCTAAAGATGGTGCTGCTGTGTCCTGGGAGAGGACAAGCAGGGATAAAAGCAGGATAAGAAGTGGAAAGTTGATGTTGTAAAGATGGAAACATTTTATTGGTGGCTGTTAGGTCACACTGAGTTCAAATATTGTATTTAATAGACTGTTTGAGTGGCAAAACAAAAGTGTTCCTGAGGACACTTACTTGTGTTACTCAGTGGAATGGTTTTGGCTGTTTTATAGGCTGCAGGTATTTGGCAGGCTTGGGAATGCCAGGATAGTGAGGCACAAGAGCACTTGGAAATGGGTGTAGGGGAGATGAATGGAAATTTAATTTGTATTTTTCTCAACATTAATATTTAATAAAATGAAAATATCAACAATAAAAAGAAAATTTACACCAAAACCCTGAACTGTGACTCTTCATTAAAAAACATCTTGGGTTTTTTTTTCCCCGTCCACTGTTGTTGAACTGACTGGACTCACACCACCATTGCTCTGAGGGCATTAGAGATCATCTCTCTGAGGGCATTTTCTGAGCTGGTAGCTGGAAGATCACAGACCATTTGTAAAGTTGCCATTCACAACCCCCCTTTACCATCCTCACCATGTCTCTGTACTTACATAGGGTTCTGTATTTGACTGGGTGCTGTGCTAGTCTGTTCTCAGTAAACATTTGGAGTTTAAATGTTTTGAGTTTCCCAAGTACAACAGACTGGTGTTCTGGCTGCAATTGGTACTAAAGCTAAAACTCCTTTTGTTCCCTCAGGATAACGTTTTCCTTTTGTAAAACAGTAGTTACACCTGCTTTCTCTTTAGAAAGCAATTGGACAAAGGAGAAGCTTTCAAAGGCTCCACTCCTCGGGTGTGCACAGATGCCACTCAGTGTCACATGGCAGCTGCAGTCAGGGCAGTAAAGCTGATTACTGAGGGTCTGGTTCATGGGGATTGGTTGTACCTGCCCTGGCTGCTGTTAAAGGACAAAGGCAGCCTTGTGACATGTGATTTGGCCTTTTACTTGTGGATATAAATCTAGCAGGCACTTAAAACTGCTGCCATTACACTTGTCCTTTGTTCTGCCCCACTGCACTGAAAAGAGAGCTTTTGCTTTCATATCAGATGATAATGCACAGAAATTTAATAGTCAAAAAGTATGCACTGATTCTGTGGCAGATCAGGCTGATGTTAATATTTTTACCTATTCCTTTACCAGGAGGAAAAGCAAGTGGGAGAACAGAATATCCTAACAAGCATGCCACCCTGGATTTGCTCAGAGAGTTTAAGCTCAGTTCCAAATTGAAAAAGCAAGTAGTATATTGATCTGGAAATAAGCAGCTCATGCCTACAGCTTTGTTCTTTCTATTGGAGTCAAGCTGAAACCAGCTTAAATTACCCAAGTCAAATGTTATAAGGACAGAGCTTAAGTCTGACTGGAATGTCTTCCAATTTTACAGCCAAGTAAGGAGGGAAATGAAGTTTTCAGGAAATTAGATCTGTCCTCTTTGCCTTCAGTTTACACCCATTTCCAAAACAACATATCTGCTTCAGGGATGCATGATGTTCTCTCTTGGCTTATTCTTTTGGCCCAAAACTAATTTTAAATTGTACTCATGTGATTTGATGCGAGTGGAAAGCTTGGGATGTTGGGGGGAAAGGAGGATGAGTTTCTGATAACCTGTAATAAGGACAGGAGGGTAATTTGGGAACGTGCCCTTCTCACACACTGCAGTTTGTCTTCCCGTTGTACTGAAGGTCACGAGCCTGTGGACAAACAGGAAGCCCTTGAAGTCCTCAAGGCACCAGAAGGAAGTTGTGAGGGCATGGCCACGAGACTGCAAAGAGTTCCTGTTTCTTCCTCAGGGTTTGGTGGTGTCCTGGATCCAGCCCAGGTAACGGTTCACCTTTGTGTAAACACCAGGCACGTCCCTGCGGCCACAGCCAATGCCCCAGCTGATGATCCCAACCACCACCATCCGCTCGTCCTTCGGGCACACCAGGGGCCCTCCCGAGTCACCCTACACAGAAGCAGCAGATTAGTAACAATTTCCTTTTCTGTTGGTTTGGGTTTGTGCTGGTTTTTCGCTCCCACTGTCTTTAGAGGTGCACCAGTGTTTGCAGAAATGCCCTGGGCAGTGTGCTCACAAAGCAAGAGCTCTCAGGAACAGCACTTTTACAGAAATCACTCTCGTGTTCCAGATCCCTCAATGCTCCTCATGGGGAGAGACACAAAAGAGATGTAACAGTGAAGTGTCTAACTTTGTATGGTGCTCATTTATGAAATGTAGGTGAGATGCTGATAATAAGAAAAAGAGGAAGGCTGTGTGTAACAGTAAAGCAAAATTATTAAAGAGCTGTTCAAGCAGAAAGGATGTGGAGTGAATGTATCCCCTCCTTTTTCCTCATGTCATAGCTGCTCCTTCTCCACCACCTTTCAGTCTTTATTTTTCTTTTCTCTACTTTTAAGTAGAGAGGCACCTCTTCCTCCTCCAGAACCTCCTGCTGAGTGTTTTGCATGCTCACATAACAGAAAATATTAGGAAATGCTGGGGTGGATTTTCCTGTTCAGTTTTGTGGAATTTCCTGTATTTGGGATTTTCAGCCTGTGTTGCTCTGGTTTGATTGGCTAAGTTGTGTCCTGCCTTCCCACCTACAAGGGGCAAGGGAAGGAAAAAGAAAGAGGAGCCAGCAGTTCTGTTCTGTTCAACAAAAGTCTACTGGAACTGCCACGCAGGCAGATGCACAACTCCTTTAAACCATTTTCTGAAGCTTTTTGTTTGCTTGGCTCAGACTACCAGGGGCAGAGAAAAGAAAGGGGCAAGGGAAGGAGGAGAGGAACAGAAGGGGGTTACCTTGCAGGCATCATCGAGGTTCCTGGTGTCGCCTGCACACAGCATGTTGTCGGTGACCGTGCGGTTGTCCAGGAGCTGGGCCGTGCACTGGCTGGCCGGGAACAGCCTGACACGGCCCTCCTTCAGCTGCTCCGAGTAGAACGGAGAGACTGCAAGGGACACAACAGGATACTTACATGTCTGTGTGGGTTTTAGAAACATTGCAGCTCAGTTTCTGCAGCTCAGAGGAGCATAAACAAAGTAGCTCAGTGGCTAAACAAATATTTCCTTGCCAAAGGGTCTTTTTTATATCCTGGGTGTTCCACTTCGCCAGTGAGAACAGCTTAAATCTGACTGAGGGAGAATATTGTTTCTTCAGCAAGCTTTAGCAAGCTAAAGAGGTTTTTCTAGGCTCCAAATTAAAGGCTGCTGGGTGGGTAAGTCATCCTTGCACAGTTACATCAATGGAAATGAAGTCACAGGAAGTGCCTATGAAAATGCCTTAACTGTATGGAACAGGGTCCTAACTTTTTAATATTAGACTTGCACTAACAAAAATCTGATGCCTTGTCATACTCAATACTGAGTAACTGGATAGGAATTTACACTTAGGTTGGAATGGAAGAGATTTGGGTGGTTGGTTAGTTTGGATATTGGGTTTATGTGCAGCTGCAATTGCACAAAATTGAAAGTTGGCAAGATTGTTGTTATTCAGTCTAGTTTTGAGTTACAGTTGCAGCATCCTGCCCTCTCAAAGAGTTTATCCTGTACTCCCTGTAAACAATGCTGAGGACAAGCTTTAAAAGCACTTTAAAAATATGTAACTGTATGGTACACCAAATCTTGACAGGAAGGGATTTCTGTCCAAACTACAATATCTAAATGTACTGAGTACAGCAGAAATGTGGCAGCTGTGACTGCAAATCTGCTGTCTTTCCTACCCTATCCATTGTGCCAGGTTTTTGGTTTTGTACTGTGGAGAGTATCAAGGAAGACTCTACTGGCCCACACAGCTGACAGAACTCAGATGAATGAAATAACTGACAGCAAAACTTCCTTTTGAGTGACTCCTACTTATACATACATTTTGTGGTGTTCATATAAGCCAATATAGTACATTAGACATTCAGTAAGGCTAAAGGCTTGAATTCTTTGATGGCAGGGGACTCAAGCTTTGGACAGACTATTTTCTACTTGCATGTAGACATTATCTTCTACTTACATTCCTCATCTTTGCCATAGCCAGAGATCTCACACTCGGTCCAGTCAGGCAGCTGCAGCCCTGGCGTGGGGAGGCAGGCAGCTCTCACAGTGTCTGTCTCAACAGCACAGGTTCCTGCATCTGAGCTCAGCTGCAGCAGGGCTGAGGAGGGAGAAAACAATCCCCACTTCATTGACCACTATTAAACTTGAGCCAACCGTGAGCTTTCCAGCCACAAGGTCAGAAAAGTTCTTACCAATATCATTGTTGAAATTTTCTGAGTCAAATCTCGGATGGACAATGTAGTTCTTCACTCGAAACTGTTGTTCCTTTTCCTCGGGAGTGGCTCGGGAAGTCCTACCCAGCACAATCTTCAGCTGATTTGTACTAAAGCTGGAGAACAAGAGAGTCTCTGTTCTTGTGTTAACTAGAGGGGACCCTTCCCTTTGAGATGTGTACTTGGAACTTCTGCTTTTCTCATTTTAGCACTATTACTACTCTGTTACCCAGGCAGCTTGACCTCAAGTGACCTATTTGGCTTCATTTTTGTGCTATTTGCTTACAGCCATCGTGGCAAAGCTCCTCTGCCAGCCCCTTGCTGTTCTCAAGTTTCAGATGGCTCTGCATGTGCATTGACAACTTTGTTCTTCTGCTATTTGATATTCTGCTGTGGTACCTTAGTGCCATGCTGCTAGTTTGCACAATAAATGCCTCTCTGTAATGCTCAGCACGACTAACTATAATCTTTAGTGCAGACTGGTTTACTGGGATAAAGAGGGTTTTCCCAAGGCCGCACTGGACGCTCCCATTTCCCAGATTTTATTTTTTCTCCCAGGCAGTGCTGAACCCTCAGCTTACCGTTCCTCAAAGCAGTGAGCAGCGGAGAGCACCCAGCAGGAGCTGATGAGGGTGCCCCCGCAGAGGAAGTGCTCCCCGGGCAGCCGGCGGTAGGTGACGAGGATGGCAGCCTGCCAGGGGTGAGCCGCGATGTCGGCGGAGGAGCCCCCTCGGACGCGGAACTGCCGGGCCCGGCGCTGCCGCACGCCGCAGCTGGCTGGGGATGAGACCCAAAACAGGCTGTTTGTGCCGGCACTCGGGCTGAGTTTGGGCTAAGAGCCTGTTAGTCACCGGTGCGTGCTGAGGCAGCCTGCTGTGAACTGTTTAGTATCTGACTCACTCCTGTTTCCTAGGAAACTTGTATTCGGATTTGAAAAATACAGTAAGGAAACCCTGCCTTTCCTGTCCTCCATTTCTGCAGTCTTCCCTTCTGGCAGAGAGAAAGGCACTGCTGTGAGAGTGGAGCTACAGAATCTCTTTCTACTCCAAAAAGCTTTTTTTTTTTTCTCCTCCAGCTCTTATTTTACTGTAAGAGGCTTGAGTTTAATACAGATGGCATGCAGGAGTGTAGTGCCTCAAAGACAGAGAAGAATCAGCAGTGCTAGTATCCTTACAGCAAGTAGGCACATTGCAGTACTCCCATGTGAGCTGGCTTCCTTTCAGGACATGGCACCAGGGCTTGCTGTCATTGTCAGGATTCCTGCAGCACAGGAAAGAGAAGAGCTCTTTGTATTATCAGATCTGCAGGGGGGTTGTGGAGACCTAAAGGTGGCAGACTGCAACCCCAGTGTATTCTTTTTGATTTTTCTAGAGAGCCCTGAGGGCACATGGAATTTGCATTTATGGGGTCTGATGTCAGAGGAGCAGAGATAGGTCAGGCAGAACAAAATTACTATTGCAAGTGAGCTTCATTCCCAGCAGGAATGTATTTCCTGTGCTTTCTACACCCCATACATACCTGCAGAAATTGTGACTCCCAAGGCCCAGCTGGGAAGCGTCTCTTCTCCAAGCAGTAAATCGCCTGTTGAAGAGGATCCCAGAATTCCACTTCAGACAGGTAGCTCCAGAACTGGTAACACTGTGGCTGCCTCGGTAATCTGTGCCTCTCCCAGATCTGCAGCTGGTGCTTGAAACTGCAACAAGAAAGCTGCACATTAACCCATGGATGGAACCCATCAGTTGTTCCTAAGTGTGATTTCTGTCAAGGCACCTCTCTATTAACCAGACACATCTCAGTCTCTTGGTGTCATACACATTAAAAGCTTACATATAATTTAACATGAGAGTCCCAACTTTTCAGGCTACAGAAACAGCACGAGTCTACAGCGAACCCTTACACATGCAGTGAATAACAGAAACTCCACAGTCCCTCCCCTGTCCCCCTGCACGTACCTTTTGAACAGGAGGGCACGCTGCAGTGTTCCCAGGTGTACCTTCCCCCTTTATAGATATAGCACCAAGGTTTGGAGTCCTCATCTGGGTTTCTGAAAGAGTTATGATATTATGCAGCGTTACAAAGCTGTTTGTAGTGGTCCCATGTCTGCCATCTCGTTTGGTAGCTCCATCCTGCTCTGCAGCAAAGACATGGACTGACCCACCAGAAGTGTCTGGATTCCTGTTTTAACTGTGGAGTACATGGAGGTGAAGATGAGATGGCCAGTGGCTAGCAGGGGTGGACAGCATGTTTGTGCAGTTCAGTTCCATGTGCACAAAGCACAGTATTTTTGCAGTTTTGACTGGGATCTGGAACTGTGGGAAACTGAATGACAAATGGAGTTTTAGGCACTGAGAAGGGACAAGGGAAAGACTGTGGGATGAGAGATATCTGCATCTTTTAGCCTGTCATAAGCATCCAGTCTAGATAGATCTGAAGTTCAGATATGCCTCCAGAAGTTGCAGCTGCTGCTCATGTGCTGGGCCATATCTGCACCTGCTTGGTATCAGATTCCTTTGCTCCAAGCTCTGATTCCTCTCACCTGTGTGCCATCAGCCCCTCACCTGCAGTAGTTGTGATTGCCTAATCCCAGCTCAGCTGCATCTGCTCTTTGGCCATGGTATGTCCAGTCCATCAAGTCTTTGCTATTCCAATTTAAACACTCAGATCCACTCTCTGTCACACTCCATGTACCCCTGTATGTTACTCCAGCATCTCTGTAGCATTTAACTTCAGTATCTGAACAAAAGGGAACAAAATGTTACTGGAAGGACATCCCAACCCTGCTTCCCCAGTCTCTGTTCTGTTTAAACTTGGCTCTCAGATGTCTTGTCTAGTGGGTCAGTGAAAATGCCTAGTCAGGCAGACTGTAAGTGTAAACAAAGGTGTCTTCAGCTACAAAATTTAGAGTTTTATTAAGAGATGCTGAGAACAGCCCAGGTGTCCTTAAAAGTTCTTTGTAGTATTAGTTTTAGAATAAAAATGGCAACTTAATAGAGAGCCTAGAATACAGCAGGAGCTTCTGGGTACCTCATCCTTCTGTACTGCACAGCTCAACCCAATCACTGTTCACAGGAACTGATGTGCTGTACTCACCTATTTCACACTGCTTCCCTGAGAAACCCTGGTGGCACTGGCAGATGAAGAGCTGTGGGGAATAATATGCCTGTGAACATTGGCCCCCATTGTAGCATTTATTTCTAGTGCAGGCTGTGGAATAAGCAAAAGCCAGGAAATACTGTTAGGTTTCACAGAAGCAAGAAGCTGGCAATGTATACACATCTTTCCTTTCCTGTCAGTCTCCTTTAGCCTGTTCTGTTTTTCCCTACCTACCTGGTACTGCCACGTACTTACAGCCTTTCTGTGTAGTGCTGACATTCTTCCTTTGTTCCATTCTCTCCACATATGCTGTCAGGAGACTCCCCCAGCCCCTTGCCCACTCCCACTCAGTCCTGCCTGAGTCAGCAGATATTGGTATTTTCATTTCTATCCTATTTCAAGCCAAATTTCCTGTGCAATAACTCCGGCCCTGAGTGTGGAGTTGTTCTCTCGGGTGGTTAGACAGACAATCTCTCATCCCTCACCATTTCCTTCCTCCTTTCCTTTGCCATACTCACCTCTGACAGGCACCGTGTGGCAGCGCCTCTGCCCGCTGTCACACCTACAGTATTCTATCCTGCTCCCTGCCAGCCTCAGCCAGGTCCATCCATGCTGGAACACTTCTCCAGAGGAACTGTCTTTGCAAATGGCTGCAGTCGGAGAAAGGAAATCCTCTTTTAGAGATTTGGGGAAAAGACCTGGCTGAGCAAGAGGACTCCCTTCCACTCCCAGGAGAAAAGTATCTGTGAAGGGTGCATCCATTTAATAGGCTGCCCTTTCCCTTCTCAGACCACCCTGTCCCATCCCTCTCTCTCACTGCTGTGTTGCTGGAGTTACTATTCCACTACTGACCAGCCTTGTTTTCTTTGAAGAAGAGCAGGGGGAGAGGAAAACTTCCCTGAGTTGTGGATGGTACTAACGGTCTGGTATTTTGCCTTCTGAATCTCTCATTCAGATAACCATGACAAACAGCTTTCAGGCTCCACTCCTGCAGCATCATTTGCTTCCACCTCCCGTGCTCCTCACACTCCAGGTCACAGGGTTGTAGTTTCCTGGCTTACCTCTGGGTCTGGCTCCCCGTCTGAAACGTGTGAGTAAGCCCTGCCAGCAAAGAAGGTTAATTCTGTGAGTAACTGCTCTCTTAAAATAACTGAGAGAACAAGTGCCTACAGAGAGTCAGTCTTCTTGAGGTCATGTGAACCAGGGGAGCCGTTCCAGAGGCACAGAAATCTCACCTGGCACTGGGTAGTCACAACTGCTCCCACCAGCAGGAGGAGACATGGGAGTTTGCCTTCCATTCTGAGTGTTTTCTACATCAGCTCCAAATCTCAAGTTATCTACAGAGACAAAAAATAAGATGCTGAACAAAGGGGTTTTACAGAGTGAATGGAGTTCAAGGTCATAACCTTAAATAAAGGTTTTCCATTATGAAAATTCTTTGTACACACTTTCAACCCTTCACTTCTCAGCTGTCTGGTCTAGCTGTCCTGGTCTTCCAGAGGCACAAAAATCCTACACAAACCAAGAGGTGGGAGTGAGGTAGAGCAGCAGGCAAGAAGGTACAATTTAATTCCCAATCTCCTAAGACTGCCCTGCAGTTCCAAATATTTGAAACAGTATTCAGGCACTGTCTCCCACACTATCACCTACATTATATGTAGAAAGCTGACCCAATTATTTGAGAAAACTACTACTTCCAGAAATTAGGAGCTCAGACTCTGTTTATGCAAAGCCAGAGAAGGCAGCTGGATAACAGCTGGTGAAATTGGAGTATGACAGATGAGTCAGAAATTGTGATTCATGGCTAATAAAGTGTGTTTGTGGGGTTTTGGTGGTTTTGTCATTGTGTTTGTTTGTTTGTTTAAGATTTGTTCAAAGAAAAAGCAAAAGGAACAAACAGTCCAGTTTCTGAAGCAGATCAGGAGTACAGCAGGACAGTTTAGGCTGTGATTTCTCATCATTAGGCAGTAAAAAGAGGAGACTTAAGTTGCAAGTCACTGTGAACAAAGGAAAAGATTCACAAGAACATCTTCCGAGAACTTTAATTACTCCATGACTTGTCTTTAGGTCACATCTTGGGGATGAAATTCTTGTAATTCAGAGCATCTCTCAGGGATTTTTGTTAGCCCCCAAAACAAGGCAACACCAGTGAAATTTGAATCTTGGAGTGTTCTGGTGTTGTTGTGGGTCTTTTGTTGTTTGGGGATTTTTATTTTGTTTGTTTGTTTGTTTTTGGGGGGGTTAATTTGATTGTTTCTGTGGAGAAGAGAGTGGCAATGCTGGCCTAACTGATACTTGGAGGAGGTCCTGGCTGTCTGAAACCAGCAGGAAACTATAGATAGTTTTCAGGGGTAGTAGGAAAGATCTTTTAAAGTCTCTATTTAAAAGGCATCTGCATGTTTAATGTTTACTCAAGTTTATGGTTACAGTCAAGTTTATCTCATAGAGTTGGCTGTACAAGTGGGTTCTAGTCTTACACAGCACGTGCTTATACTGCAGTACAGCACAGTCCAGAGTCTGCCCAAAGTTAGTTTGCATCAGATGCCACATCTTCTCTTCCCCTTATTTCTGCTGTCCCTGTCCAGGCTGTCTCAGCTTACATGCTGCCACGTTTCCTGCTCCTTTCCCCCTCTCCATGTGGGATGCCTGTCCATCCACTGATGGCTGCTGTCCCACTGTGCTTGGAAAACTGATAGCAGATGTTGCCAGATGTTTATTTTTAGTTTTGGGAAAGGTACAGCTTAGACCAGTCCTTTGGAATGTTCTGGATGATAAGCCCCATCAAACTGAAACCATATGGCTGTTTGAAAAACACCACTTTGACAGAAACCTGCAGTGTGCTTTCTGGCAGTTCTCCCCTAACCAGTGTGTGCCTTCTGATCTCAGCCTGTGCTTCCTCTCTGATCAAAAATACTACAGCAATAAGTCAAAGACTGAGATGTGCTGTTCCCACATTTTGATTTGATTTGACACTTTCGAGTACATTAGGACACAAAAGATACACAGTACCCTAAATTTGTCTCTCTTTGCTGAAGAATCAGCAGCAGAAATACTTACAATCCTATCTATTAATTTATTATTAACAGCCCTCTGAGCAGCAAGAGTGTGAGCATTATCTTACCAGTGTGGAATAATACCTAAAAAAGAGATGTAACTTATCAAGGTCCAACAAAAAGTCATTAATCACAGAATCACTTAGGTTGGAAAAGACCTTAAAGATCATTGAGTCCAACCATGAAACCAACACTGCCAAATCCACCGTTAAACCATGTCCCTGACTGCCACATCTACAGGTACAGAAATTAAAAGTGGCTCTCCTCCCTCCCACTAACACAGCATGTCCATTCCAAAATGCATTGATTCTGCATCTATAAGGCTAACAGCTTTCCTGTTGATCAACAGCTACCTTGATTTAGTTCAAGCAACAGACTGCAGCTCCTTGCTGCCTTTTCCTGCCTGCTGGAGAAAGTGCTTTTGCATCCCTTTTCTGAGCTGAGCAGATGCATAGCAGACTCGTACTATTTCTCCTTAAAAATATAACAGACAGACCTCTGGTTTGGGGGGAAAGAGTTAAAAAAAAAAAAAGAAAAAAAAAGTAAGATGCTGTAGTCTTTGAAAGCACTGGAGGAAATGGATATTTCAAAATCAGGCTTTGTTTTGGGAATCATTCTCAGTATTCCTGTGGTTTTGGCCACATTTAAAGAGAAGCATGATTAGGGTGAACTGAAGATGACCCACCCTCCTCCTCCTCTTTGTCCCTCCATTATCCTGGTTTGGAACCTGGGGTGAGAGGAACAGTCTGATCTCCTCCCAGGGAGATTAGATAAATTCTTCTTTTTCAGCTAGTTCTCTGGGTCCCCTTACCATCAAGATATTTGTCCATAACTCTTCCTTTGGTTTAAGTTCTTTTGCTAATGTTCTTTGTGCAGGACACTCCTCCTTGCTTAATGGGTCAGAGCCTGAGGCTGTTGGTCCTTTCAAGAAAGCTTCAGCATTCTTGAAACAACTGAAAGTTAGCAGCTTTACCCACATTATGCATCCCTTCAAAAGCTGAAAGCCAATAGCTCAGTTAGGTAACTATCACGGTGATACAGTGGGATTTATTAAATAATAATATTTAATAGTAGTTAATGACTTTGCCACTGATGTTGAAAACAGGAAATGCACTTTTTAAAACAGGTACAAAGTAGTACCTACCTTTTTGCTTTTTCTCTTCTGTATTCTGGTTATTTCCTTTCCAGACCAGTCTGGTTTTGTGTTTTCTGTGTCTCTGCTCTGATTTCTCTGAACAGCTCCTGTCCTACTTACAGCTCCACTCGAGGGGGTGGAGACTCCCCGGGCCGTGCTGTCCACATCCCACCCCTTCCCGAGCATCTGGGGATGGTCCAGGCTGGTGGCTGAGGGTCGGGAGGGAGCCTGTGCAGGAGGCCAGGGAAGCTGCTGTACTCCGAGTAGAGACGTCTGGCAGAGAGGTCCTGACCTGCATGTGGAGCAAAGCATGCCCTGAACAGTGCCATGGGAGAAGAAACAGTCAGGGCAGCTCGTCAGTTAAATGAACAAAATGTCTAAGGAACTTTAGACAGAAACAAAGAACAGCACGTTGGGGACCAGAGGTTTAAATGTTCACTGCTGCTGCCCATCCTAGAAAATGAAGATCTACTCAGCAGGGTGTGGTCACGAGGTACTCAGTTATCAGTGTGGCAGACAAATCTGAGTTATCGGTTTAAGAGCTGATCTTAGGGCTGGGTTATGAAAACAGTCAGTGATGCAACTGTCAGAGTAATGGATGTGTCCTAACTATTCATAACTGATTCGATAGCAATCAGGTTCCTATAGAATTTGGTGTGAGCACAGACATAAGAACTGGTGTTCTTACGAGGGACCTCTGTCTTCAGGAACTAGCTGCGTGGAGTCCTTATTTGGGAAGCATGGCAATGGTTATTTTGCATAATGGTAAAGATGGAACACTGGCCACTCTGTATGTTTAGATTTTCTCTGTATGGAAATCTATGCCAAGATTATCGCATGTATTTCTCCAAGAGTCACAGTGCTGGTGGTAACATTACTACCACAAACCTGAGCCAAGGGGAGCTGCATTTGACTGTTTCCAGAAGGGACTCCCAGCTGCTGAGAAAAAGATGATCGAACACGGCTGAGTGAGCGGGGGCTAATTTATTTCCTTTCTAAAAACAGCACCCATTTGCTACTGGACTTCTAGATTAAAGATGCTAACAAACTAATGGCCGTGGGGGGAAGAGCTCAGAAATTATCTCCTGACTTTTCGCATCTTTAGGACAACTATAACTTGTCTCCAGAGCGCTGTGCCATTTGTACTGCTTAATCCATTTCGGGAAAGGCGGCGATAGCAGCGTCTGCTCTCTGAAGCACCATCTGCCGGCTTTCCTCTAATCTGGCCGTGTCTCGGGGCGGTTTCGGCAATGACACTGTTCAGTGTCGGTGGCCAAGTGGGACCCTGCGACCCCCCCCGCCTTACCCGAGGGGCCCCGCAGTGCCCGCAGGTTTCGGAGCGCAGCTTCCTGCTCGCGGTGAGCCCTCTACGGCGGAGGAGGGCCAAACGCGGCCGGCGTGAACGCCGGAGCGCGCGGGGGCGCGGGGCAAGCGAGGGCAACCCCCGGCGCGCCCCCAGTCGGCGGGTTCTGAGCGAATGTTTTCCTACGATGCCCGCTGCACGCCCGCTCCCCTCAACGATGCCGCTCCCCTCAGTATGCCCCTCCTGACGATGCGCGTGCCCGGCGCCGCTTCCGAGATCCCGCTCCCTCAGCGCTCCCACGGCCCGTTCCCCTCAGCGCCGTTCCTCACGATGCCGCTCACCTCACCCGTCCCGTCACGATTCCGTTCCTCACGATGCCGCTCCCACCCGTCCCTGGCCGCTCGCCCTCAGCCCAGCTCCGCTCAGCCGCCCCCCGACGATGCCCGATCCCCCCTCAGATGCCGCTCCCTCGCCCTCCCCGGCCCGTTCCCTCAGGAGCCGTTCCTCACGATGCCCGCTCCCTCAAGCTCGCTCCCCCGGCACGTCTCTCACGATGCCCGTTCCCTTCATGAAATGCCGTTCCCCCACGATGCCCGCCCTCAGCCGCTCCCGGCCGTCCCTCACGGCGGGCCCAGCGCGGGGTCGGGCGCGCGCATACGCCGGAGCGAAGCGCGGCTGGCGCAGGAGCGGGCTCGCCATTGAGCAGCTCCGCGCGCTGCAGCTCCGAACCGGCTGGAGAGATGCGGGAGCGCCTCGGCACGGGGCTTCGGCAGTCGTCCGTGGGACAAAAGGTAGGCGGGGGTCGGGCCAGGGGCGCGCCCGCGCGGGGCCCCCCGCGCTCCAGCGGCCCGGGTGTGCGCAGAGAGACCGGCGAGCAGGTGGCATGCAAGCAGTGCCGGCAGGAGCTGAGCCCGCGCAACCGCGACCGCTGGGCGCTGGAGATACAGATCATGAAGAGGTGAGGGGGTCCCGCCGTGCCCGGGGGCGGATCTGGCGGGTGCCGGGGGAGGTGCCGGAGAGGCCGCGGGGATCCCTTCCGGGCGGTGCCCGCTCCTCCGCCTCCCGCACCCCGGGTCGCGGTGCCGCCTTTGCGAGGCTCGTTGCGGTACCTCCCGGGCAGATCTGCTGTGCGGGAACGCACTGTGTGCGCGTGAAATGCAGCGAGTGAGGGTGAGCCTAGGGCCGTGAAGGACGGGCGAATTGCAGACCTTTAGAACCCACCAGTTCAGTTTCTAAAAGGGTTGGTGACCACGTAGGACTTGGAGTGATGACCGTGAGCATGTGAAACTGTGTAGGAGTTGGAGCACATCACGTGTGCTTGCCTTATTTTCCTTCCTCAGGCTCAACCATCCCAATGTGGTGGCTGCCCGTGATGTCCCTGAAGGGATGCAGAAGCTTGCACCAAATGACTTACCCTTGCTGGCCATGGAGTACTGCCAGGGTGGAGACCTCCGCAAGGTGAGGGCCCTGGGAAGGGGACCGAGGGCTGGATCAGCTTCTCATCTCATCCCAGGTGTTCTGTTCAAGTTTTCCCATAAAATCTTTGTTTTCACATCCTGATGCTTCGTAGTCATGGCATCAACAGATTCCTCAAAGTGATTAACTCCTGTCTGTCAGAGGGAAAAAATAACACAGGATAATTCTAATCCTAAGGTTTTTCTAACCCTTGCTATAATTTGCCTGTAGATAACAGCCAGAGCTTAGACCTGAGGTTTGAGCTGATACTGCCACACGCAGGGGAAATGGCTGAGAAAGGTGGAGCAAGTAGAAGGATGAGAATGGGATGACCCTGACTTCTCTCACCCACTCTGTTATCCTCCCATGCCATTAGGCCAAGGCCTGAAGCTGTAATTGCTGCTACCAGAGGTCACAGACCATAGAATTTTGTGCCTCTAGAGATTTTGATTGCTGTTACTTAGACTTCTTGCATCCCTGAGAATTTGTGGGACTGTGAGCCTCGCTCAGGGTAGAGGAGGGGAAGCCTACATTCTGTGTTGTCTACTTGCAGTACCTGAATCAGCTGGAGAATTGCTGTGGCTTGCGGGAGGAAGCCATTCTCATCTTGCTGTCTGATATTGGTAAGTGGCTGCAGTACCTCCACTCTCTGAACTAGTGCTGTGACCTTAATAACTACATCTTAGTCTGACCTTTTATGATCATCTACCAAAGGTTTTGGGAGTCTGTGGAGGTCCCTGCTGACTTGAAACTAGCCAGCATTATTACAGTTTACAAGAAGGGTGGGAAGGGAACACCCAGGGAGAAAACTCTGCTTGTGTCCAGAGGTGTTTGATGACTTTCCTCTTGCACTTACGTGTTTCATTGTACACGATTTGACCCAAAAGCCATGCTTATAGTCGGTAGAACCGAATCCTCACCGAGCTCCTGCTAGGTACTGTTAATTATGCTCTTAGAAGTGGCTTTTTCTGTGTCTCAGCTTCTGCTCTCAGGTACCTTCATGAGAACAGGATCATCCACAGAGACTTGAAACCAGAGAACATTGTGCTGCAGCAAGGAGAGCAGAGGGTAAGCAGAAACTGGGTGTCTCTACCTGCACACACAAGTAAGTGTAAGAGGAGGTGCCTGTGGTCCCTCTGCAGAGCACTCTGCCCAGGGTGACAGCTGTGTCAGATGAACAGTGTTCTGTGTGCAGCTGAGATGAGAGATTGTGTTAGGCACCTGTTAACACCTGACATTTTGACTTTCAACTATTAAGCAGAGAATCAGGCTGTACTGATGGACCAAGGATCAGAAAGAGCTGGAGACATAACTGCTAAATGTGTGCCAAGCCCCTGACAGCTTCACATATGTTGCAGTTTTAGGAATCTCCCATTTCTCCTTCCCTCTCTTCCTTGGCACCTTTCCTGCATACCTTTGAAGAGCTGAACCTTTTCTTTCTACTGTATGATGTGCTTTTAACAGGACTTCAGTCTAGTGCTCTTGTTCTCTGTTGTGTGTTTCAGTTAATACACAAAATCATTGACCTGGGTTATGCTAAGGAACTGGATCAGGGTAGCCTGTGCACATCCTTTGTTGGGACTCTGCAGTACTTGGTAAGGAAGGAATTCAGCTGGAAGAGCAGCTCCTGCTTTCCAGTGGGGTGGAATTAACTGTTATCCAGCTTTGGGCTGGGATGAGGTGCATTTGGGGTGCTGCAGCGAGCAGAGGTGCCCCTTTTTTTGCTGACACTGTGTTTTCAGTGTCTGCCAGCTCTGTCTGTTACAAATCAGGAGCAGGAGGGCCAGTGACCTGTGCGGGTCACTCTGGGAGGGTCTCGAAGCTCGTGTTCCATAACCTCTTTAATCTTGTGTAGGAACATTAGTGAGCTGTTAAGGGGCAGAGAGAGCCAAGGATGGGTGGCTTTGTCTCATGTGGGTAACTGTCTCAGGCTCCAGAGCTGCTGGAACAGCAGAAGTACACGGTGACAGTGGATTACTGGAGCTTTGGCACACTGGCCTTTGAGTGCATTACGGGCTTCCGACCGTTCCTGCCCAACTGGCAGCCAGTGCAGTGGTGAGTGAGCTGGGGCTGGTGGCAGGAGGGGACCCCACTGTCTGTCCTGTTTACAGTCCCTTGATTCTTAGGACAACATCCCTGTGTTCCTTGCCCTTATGGAGACTGGCTCCCTTCACAGGAGTTTGACCTACCTGAGCAAGTTCAGCATTCCTGATACTTGCCCTCTGGGAATAAGGTCTGACTCCTGCAGGGCAGGTAACAGAAAGCAAAGTGGCATCTGTATTACATCTGTCAAGAGTAGCTTTAAGCTTTAAGAGCCTACTGTCGTGCAGGCTGGGAGAGGCAGGTGATTGTTTCACCACTGTACTTGCTTGAATTCCTCAGGCACACAAAAGTGCGTCAGAAGAGTGAGCTGGATATTGTTGTTTCAGAAGACTTATCTGGAGAAGTCAAGTTTTCCAGCAGCTTACCCTGCCCAAACAATCTAAACAGGTGTGCACTGGAAATTGCCCTGCTGGGATAAACTGATTCTTCTGCATAAGGACCAGGTTTATATTATACACTGTGTTGATCTGTGGATAAATGGAGTGCATGACACAGACAGTACTTGTGTCACTTGTCAGACTTGTGTAGCTGTGAGTCTCTAAACACTGCATTTGTGATGGGGAGTGTTGGGGGGATCGGGGTGGGGGCAGTTGTTTGTCAGTCCTCCTGCAGAGAACAGGCCATGTGGTGACTGCAAATGCACTTTTACTTCTTGTGATCCCCTTCTGTTCTTGGTTGTTCAGTGTTTTGTCTGCGAGGTTGGAGAAATGGCTGCAACTCATGTTAATGTGGCACCCACGTCAGAGAGGGACAGATCCTACATATGGACCCTATGGGTGTTTCAAAGCCCTGGATGACATTTTGAACTTGAAGGTGAGCAATGGCTCTGTATTATCCTGAAAAGTTTTCCAGTGAGCAGTTGCCTGTAGCCCGTGAGAGAAGGTGCTTGAGTCAGAGGCCCAGGAGAAGGAGTTGCACAGAAGCTCATGGAGCTGTCTCCTGACAGTGAAGGGACTTTCCTCTTGCTTCTCTGAGGACAAATACTCCTTGAGCTTGTTGGGAGTAGCAAATAGCTTCTGTGTGTGCTTAGTTCCATGTTCTGGTAGAGGATTCTGCACCTGAAGCTGTTTAATTGCCACGTGGCCTCCCCTCCACTCGATGGAGGACAAGGACTTTGGCATAATGTTATGAAGTAGCTGCAGAGTGACTTCCTGAGCCCACCAAGTGCTTTGAACAGTTTATTGGTGACCAATTTCTCAGTCCTGCCATCTCTGCTCAAACATGACCAGTGTTTCTTCAGCCTGTCTCATGTCATGCTGCTCTTGTAGTTGCTTCATGTTTTGAACATGGTTACGGGAACCGTGCACACCTACCCTGTGACAGAGGAGGAGACTCTGGAGAGTGTGAAGGCCAGGATCCAGGCAGACACAGGAATCCCAGAACAGGACCAGGAGCTACTGCAGGAAGCAGGACTTGAATTGTTTTCTCAGAAGTTGGTCACTAAACATATAGCTGATAGCAAGGTGAGTCTTGTTGTCGAGTGAATCAGCAGGCACTGCTCTCCCTTTGGGATCACAGCACTCCCTGCTGTTGTGAGGCTTTTGTCACAGTAACCACACAGCCCTTGCCTCTGGTGTTCTCTGTGTGGCCGAGGAGGAATGTTCTGGTTACGGGGTTAACGAGGCTTGGCTTTCTGAGGGAACCAGTCGGGTCTTTTTTCTTCTGCAGGTGAATGATGCTGCAGCTGCAGACACAGACCTCCTGTTCCTCTTTGACAACAAGAAGGTTTCCTACGAGGCTCAGGTGGCCTTGCGTCCTCACCCAGAAAGTGTCGACTGCATCCGTAAGGACTTTCTCTGACGTGAACGTGGGAGGGGGCCTGTGTTCTGTGCTCTGTGCCACGTGCAAACAGCAGACAGAGCTTTGCACACTGGGGACTGAAGCAGCAGTAAAGTGGACTGGCATAGCATTCATTCAGTTTGTCAGAATAGCTGAGAAAAGGAAGTGTTTGATTTTGGTACGGGGGGAACTGCGTAGGGCTTGGCCAGCTCTGGGCTTGGCAGGAGGTAACAGTGTTTGAGGCTGCTTTGTCGTGTGATAACACCACTCTTGGGCTGCACGTTGACATGGACGTTTGTCTTTCCCTCCCTCCCCCCTCTGTCTGCAGTTCAGGATCCCAAGAAGAACCTGCACTTCTTCCAGCTGCGCAAGGTGTGGGGTCAGATCTGGCACACGATCCGGGTGCTGAAGGAGGACTGTAACCGGCTGCAGCAGGGGCAGCGCGCGGCCATGTACGGGGCAGCTGCTCTGGGGCACTCCTCTGTGCTCTGGGGCACTCCTCTGTGCTCTGGGGCACTCCTCTGTGCTCTGGGGCACTCCTCTGTGCTCTGGGGCACTTCTCTGTGCTCTGGGGCACTTCTGTCTGTGCTCTGGGGCACTTCTCTGTGCTCTGGGGCACTCCTCTGTGCTCTGGGGCACTTCTGTCTGTGCTCTGGGGCACTCCTCTGTGCTCTGGGGCACTTCTCTGTGCTCTGGGGCACTCCTCTGTGCTCTGGGGCACTCCTCTGTGCTCTGGGGCACTTCTCTGTGCTCTGGGGCACTCCTCTGTGCTCTGGGGCACTTCTGTCTTCTGTGCTCTGGGGCACTCCTCTGTGCTCTGGGGCACTCCTCTGTGCTCTGGGGCACTTCTGTCTGTGCTCTGGGGCACTTCTGTCTGTGCTCTGGGGCACTTCTGTCTGTGCTCTGGGGCACTCCTCTGTGCTCTGGGGCACTCCTCTGTGCTCTGGGGCACTTCTGTCTGTGCTCTGGGGCACTCCTCTGTGCTCTGGGGAGAGGGAAGGGGTGGGAATGGGGCCCTGCTGGAATGGGAAGCCCCTGAGTGGAGCTGTAAACTATTCCTGAAAAGCTGGGAGTTGGCCCTCTGGCCCAGCTGCCTTTGTCCTCAGTCCTCAGTGAAGCTGTGCTGTGCTGGAAGTGCATTCCCAGTCTGGGAGGCTGACAGCCCCTTCCTGTCCCTGCAGGATGAATCTGCTGCGTTACAACAGCACCCTCTCCAAGATGAAGAATTCTATGGCCTCCCTTTCCCAGCAGCTGAAAGCAAAGCTGGACTTCTTTAAAACAAGCATCCAGATCGATCTGGAAAAGTATAAAGAGCAGATTGAATTTGGAATTAGTGAGTATAGCATCTGGAAAACGTGCCTTTTCTTCCCACAAAGTACCTACCTCTTCCTCTGTGAACCTGAGAAATCCAATGTCTCTTCTTTCATTCCTGTAGCTTCTGAGAAGCTGCTGTTTGCCTGGAAAGAGATGGAACAAGCTGTGGAACTTTGTGGGCGGGTATGTTTCTAAATAACTGCTTATCCTAAAGAAAAAGAGGCTGGTTTTTATTATCTTTTTTCCCCCCCTTTTTCTCCTCATTGTTCCCCCTTAAACAGAAACTTCTCATATCTGGACTGATTCCAGATTTCACATTGCCTTGGTTTGGGTGGCACCATTTTTGTCCATTACTAGTATTTCATGAAGCTCACTCTGTTGGAGGAGGCAGGGGGCAGAATGTCTGTCTGAACAAGCAGCAGCTTCTGCTTGTGAATGGGTTCAAGTGAAAAGCAGGATTTGGGGTGCCAGGAGTTGATGTGGTTATGTGCTGAAGGAAAAGGGGAAAAGTGGTAATGGATAGGATGAGAGTAGCCAAGGAAAAGGGAGAAAGATGGCCTGGGAACTAGCAGCACATCTACTACAAAGTCTGACCCTTAATTGCTCTTTGTCACAGGCTGAATTTTTCACCAAAAAATTCTTGGAAGTTGTCTTATCCAAGAGCACAAACCTAATTTCTTTGAATTGAAGTGACTTCTGTTCTCCCTTGTCTTTGGCCAAGGCTGCTGTTTGCATCCTGCTGATGTGTTTGGAAATGTGAACAAGAAGGGAAGAGCCACTGTGAGTGGTCGTGTCTCTGAGTATGACACTGTTTGTTGCTGATGCTCTGCCCTGCTTTCAGGAGGATGATGTGGATCAGCTGGTGAAGAGGATGATGGCCCTGCAGACAGACATTGTGGACCTGCAGAGAAGCCCACTAGGTCGTAAACAAGGAGGAACACTGGAGGATCTGTGAGTTGAACTACCTTGAACTTCAGATGCAGGACTATTTCTAGCTAAGCTGACCCAGCACAGGACAGTGAAAGGGCTCTTTCCTCTGCCCAAATTATGGGGCACTGGGAGGACTTCAACACTAAAGGCAGTTTTTGACTCATCTGCCATCAGTCTGAAATGGCAGACTGGTATAGAAAAGATTCAACTTCTCAAACTATTTGTTCCTTATTTTGGTTCTTGAGAAGTCATTTCTCTGCCTTTTCCTTCTAGAGAAGAACAGGCCCGAGAGCTGTACCGGAGACTGAGAGAGAAGCCAAGAGGTAAAAGACATTTTAGCTCAAGGTCAGCTTGCTTTGTGGGGATGGTGACTTTGGAGATGTAGCAATGACCCCTGAGGAAAATTCCTGTGCATTCTAGGCCTGCCCACACATTAGCTGCACATGGACTCTGCTGGACTTACCTTCTTTTGGAGAGGGGAGTCAGGCAGTCAGTTTTACACTAGGCCAGCCTTGCTTTCTTGGCACCTTCTGAGCTCTCCCTGAACCTCCTCTGGAGCTCTGCTCAGAGCAGGCTGTTGCCACAAGCATCTGCTGCTCCTTCTGTGTAGGGTGAGAGATGTGGCTGTTCCTTGAGCAGCTGTCCAGGCCCAGCTCTGCTTTCCAGTTTTTAAACCTATGAAAAGGTGGCTAAAATCCAGTGCAGTGCATCCCACTCAAACTTGCACGCCCTGAACTTGGGGTGTTTCAGGGTTGAAGCAGCAGTGGAAACAAGCCACAAAGAATCCTCTCCCTCTATCCTGTAAGGCTTTCTTTCTGTGTAACACTGTGGGTCTCGCTCCAGATCAGAGGACAAGTGGTGACAGCCAGGAAATAGTGAGGCTGCTGCTCCAGGCAATCCAGACCTTCGAGAAGAAAGTTCGAGTCATTTATGCTCAGCTCAGGTGAGCTTTGTAGATTTTACTGAGGGTTGAGAGAATGTTTAAAACCCAGTGCACACAGGGAATAAGTAACTTCAGAAATGTTTCCCTGCTGCAGTGGCCCGTGTGTGACCTGATCCATTTTTACCTTTTTAATAGTAAAACTGTAGTTTGCAAGCAGAAGGCACTGGAATTGTTCCCCAGAGTGGAGAAGGTGATGGATCTGATGCGTGAAGATGAGGAAACCGTTGTCAGGCTTCAGGAGAAACGGCAAAAAGAATTGTGGAACTTGCTGAAAATTGCTTGTGTAAGTAAAATAAAAACTCCACTTTAATTTAAAAATATGGTTTGTAGCACAGGTTACTGAAATAATAGTAAATGGAGTAAGTCCTATGGTTCTTGCCTTTGTTATTTTGAATTAGTGTTAGAGCCAAGTTCCAGGTTGTCTCATACTCCTGTCTGCTGAAAACTAGTGGAAATAGTTGCAATCTGAATATTCTGTGTTTTCTCCAGAGTAAAGTCCGTGGTCCTGTCACTGGCAGCCCAGAGAGCATGAACACATCTCGTCTTGGTGGCCCTGGTCAGCTGCTGCTGCAGGTCCCTTCTGAAACCTACCATTTATCAGACTCTGTAAGAAAAAGGTGAGGCAAGTCTGGAGTATGAATTATGAATTATGACCTGACTGCCTTCAGTGTCTGCAGCATACCTGCCAGAAATATTTCAGAGGTAGAAGCAGTATCTCTTTAAACTGCCATAGAAAATAATAGTGTAATAATTGTCCCTTTCAGTGAGGAGCTACTGCTGGAATCACAGAAACTTTGTAGCCAGCTAGAAAATGTGATGTATGACACAATGAAGGATCAGGAGCAGAGCTTCATGGTAATGTATTCATTCTTCTAGAAATAGACTGGGCAAGCTCATGGCTTCAAAGTTCTGCTTGTGTGGCTTTGCCACCACTCAGTAATACAGCTAATGGAAATCTGGGATTTACTCTTGGACAAAGAGAACAGGAGCTGTGCAGACAGGAAGCACCTGCTCCCCCAGGAGCTGCTGCCTGACACTCTGTGGCTGCTGAGAAGGAGAGCCCTGCACTGGGGACTGGTGGGGTGAACAGTAAAGGAGGGGGGAGTTGCTTGGATGCTGTATCAAAATACTGCAAAACTGCACTCTTAAATCTGGTGGCAATACAGGGGGGGCAGGGATGCAGAATATTAAAAAGAGAGCAAAATATTAGAGAAATAAATAACTTAAGGGTTTCCTTTACAGCAGTCACATGGCTTATCTTGAAACTCTACTGCCCAACTTGTTCACAGTAATTTTTTTAAATTCTATTAACTTGCTTCTCCTTTACTCTAAAGAAAGCTCAACTGTAAGCTGGTGTTGACCTTTGCAGTTCTGTTTATTCTCCAGGCTCTAGACTGGAGCTGGCTGCAGCTTCAGGTGGAAGAAACCAACAGTCCAGAACAAACCCAGATGTGAAATCACGTCCGTCGCCCCTGAAGACGCTGCTTTGGGAAGCCAAGTGTGAAAAGCTGCTGCCCCCAAGAAGGGAAGATCAACTGCCTCCTTCTGTCACCTGCTGCTCCTGTGACACACACAGCCTAGCTTTAGTATCCACCTCCCAGACACTCTGCTCACAAAGCTACAGTAGGAAATGCCTGTTCTAACTGCCTGGAAAACGTTCTTAATTGTGCCTTATGACAGCAGATAATTCTTATTCTCTGTCCTGATATATCTTCCCTTAGGCATCACCTGTGGCTGTTCTACTGCATTTTAGGCTTTCTGATGGAACAATGGACAATGTTTGCCCAGGCACTGGTAGATGTCACCTTTGTAATATACTTGAACTGTGAACCTCATTTCTTAACTCTGCTGATTTGCACTTTTTTTTCTTTAAGTGTAATGGTTGTACTTACCTAATACTTGTTTCCTATATGGGAACGAAATTATCTAAAACATGTAAACTTTTGGTTTGCTCTTTTTGATACCATCAATAACATTTTAATGGAAAAAGCTGCTTTCACTGTGCAGGTCTCTAAAACATGAGAGGTGTAAGGATGTTATCCTGGAAACCCCAGGAGAAGGAAATGCTCAGTGTACAGGTACAGTGTGACAAAGCATTTGCAGGTTATCTATTAGCCATGCTTAAAGTTGCATCAAAAGTAAAAAAAAAAGGACAGCCAGATGGAACACAGCTTTTCTGAACCTGGCTAAGAGTCAAGACACACCAACCCTCTGTTCCGACTGGGACCAATTTATTTCATTCCGATGTAAACCCAAATTTCCACTACAGCACAGCGACCACCTTTTGAAAAGGCTGTGGAGTACAGGACATGCAAAATGCAATACAATAAGGGGGAGAGGTTGGATTTTCTTCTGTTTTTTAGGAACAGATTTAAAATACAGGAAACTGAAATGTGGCACAAACATCACAACTTCCATGCACGCCTTCAAGTGTCTTCCTCTGTTGTGCTGGCACTCTCTGGACCTTCAGCAGTGGGTTAAAGTCGTTCTTTGGAAGAGCAGAAAGTTCACACTTCTTCAAATTTCAGAGTATATTAAGGCCGAAACACACTGGGTATACTTTTCCTTCACCTTCCAGAGCACCACCAGTTGTTTTACTTACAGCTGTGTTAAGCTTCCAGCTCAAATCCCAGCCCAACTTTGTGACCTCCAGTATTGAAATTCTTGCCATCAATCAAGCCTGAGACGGTCAGTTTAACACCTGTGAAAGCAAGTCATGAGAGCCATCCCACTGTGAGAGCCCTGGGCAGTGCCCTCCCTCAGCCCCCGAGCTCAGCACTGCCTCTGTACCCCCGTTCCTAAAGCAAGATACCCTTTCCTTCTGTGAGTCTGTGCAAAACTGAGCTCACCTGTTCCTCTGTTCTGTTCTAAGGATGACAGGGAATCCCCCCCAGTGCAGCACTCAGTACTATTTGCTGTGCCAGTGGGACTTACGTACCGGGTCGGAGGACGTGAGTGTAGCCGAGTCCAATGAGGCTGGCATTGTTCACTTTGCCCTGCAGGGAAAAGGAAACCACAGCAGTTATACACTGTGCATAAACATTCAGCATTGTCCCAGCCCTGAGAAGGTGCCTTATGCATTAATTCTCTTCAGCTGCTTGTAGAGTAACCTCTGCTAGGAGCACATTCCAGTCTTTTATCAAGAGTTTCCAGCCCAAGCAATCTTTTCCTCAAATGGTGGCCCCATTATGCCCAGATAAAATGCCACCCTGTTCTTCACTGCCCCCAGCACTGTCTTCATATCCTTTAAAGAGCTCCTTGCTGCAGTCCCTCAGAGCCAAAGAAGCCTGTCTTGTTCACATCACTCAGGAGTGACTTTTTTTTCATTTAATGAGCAATAAATACATGAATATGCAAACCCCTTTTTCTGCATTACTAAGTTCTGAGCTGTTTACAATAGTATTTCTCATCTTTAATTCTGGCTGAATTGTCCTGGAACTGAGTCTTGTTTTGAAACAAAACAAATGCTTGTTTTAACACTAAGAACTGAAGCAGCACTGACTTCATGTGTCAGCTGACTTTCGAGGGTCAGCTCAGGAAAAGGCTGAACTTCCACCACTGTAACTGTAATAGTGTTTTATGTTATGGATTAGAGAATTAAAACACTACAGCCTTTCAGTACCTTTTGACACACATCTTGCAGGGCTCTAAACACACTAATCAGACTATTTCACTGTGGACAAAATTACAGTTCAGATTTATTTTTTTTCCTAATTTCACAAGTATAACCTGTGAGGTCCCAATTTAAATTTGAACCACAACAAAAGCCACAGTCTGACCTCTACTATACTCGGTAATTAGTCAAAGCAACTACTTCATAACACAAATTTTCAGTATTTGTGGGAGCTTGAAACAGTCATTTCTTTAACAAAGTTCTTACCACAAGAGAAGTCTTGTCATCCAGTTGGTACTTTGCAGCAATCCCAAAACGTGTGTTGTTACTGCCAGCAGTCCATGCCAGATTGACTGATGTCTCAACGTTATTATTAACCTTCTGATAAATAGACCCACCAAACTCGGTGCCATCGTTCCTGTTTTAACAGACATAAGTGTGTCAGGCCTTGCCTTGCTCAGTAACTCTTTAGGTCAGCCCTTCCCCACAATCATCATAGACAAGACTTTCCAACAGCTGAGACCTACATTTTGAGGCTCTGACAGAAAAAACACACCCAGATAACCTGGTTGCTTGTCTCAAGCCAACCTGTGGTAACACATGAAGGGACAAATCCAGGAGACTTCAGTTTTGGCAGTGATGAGACTGAGAACATGTTACTGCAGTGCAGTTGGTTAAATACACCATCTCCAGACTCTCAGAGATCTCAATGCCCAGGCTAGAGCTACAATGACAGCTGGGCACACTCAAGCACAGCACAACAGAGGCCTCTCTCCTTCACCTTGGGCATTTCTGAGGGACAGCGATGGTGGGGAGGGGCAGAAGGTACAGTAGTTTAATTGAAGGCTCTTTTATCTACTGCCAGAACAGAAGTCAAAAGTTGACAGATTTAAATTCCAAATTAACACTTACAAAGTGCCTCTACATCACTATCTTACATACACAAACCCCCAAATTACTCTCAGACAAGCTATCAAGGCAGACAAGAGTTGGAAAGTTGCCCTGAAAATGAAAACACTGAATACAAATTATTTGGAAACAAATTAGCATCCCCTTCCATCCACCTGCCTTTGACCTAAGTCCACTAATGCAACTATTCCTACAGTTTGGCTCCTCTGGTAATATTTTCCTAGGCTCAGAGAATACTTACACATTAGTGTGCAGCTGAAAGTCTCCTGACTTATATCCCAAGGCAAAGTTATTTTGTGAAAGCTTATACTTGGCTGTATCAAAAGCCATCTGGTAGCCAGCCAGCCAGCCTTCATAGCCCAGCACTGCCCAGCCATACACGGTTGGCCCAGCGAGGTCAATGTCTATGTTGCAGCCTACATTTATATATTCTCTTTTGTAGGAGGTCTTCAACTTTGCACTCTTCTTCCTGCAGAGAGAAAATGCCATTTTACCCGTGGCAGTGCACAGGGGTGTGAGCTGTGGTTTATTCAGGTGTTTAAGTATTTACCCTGTGTTCGGTACAAATGTAGTGTCAAGAGCCACCTTCAATCCTCCAGCCAACTGCAAAAAAAACCAAGACACCTGCTCAGAATTCTGCTGAAACATGGTTTGTTACACTCACTACTCTGCTTCCTATCTAAAGAGAAAACAAAACAGAACCATGTGTTTAAATCCCTCATCCTGCAGCACCTTCAGAGTTCACTGTAAAACATGAATGGCCATAGAGGGCAGAGGGCATCACAGAATTTTCACTATCTTTGGCACCATTACCTTCAGGCATTAAGTGAAAGGCATAAACCTATTAATCTGAAAAAGAACTGTGTGTTTTGAGAGTGCTGTACCCTGCCAACCCTTCGTGTAAGCAGTGCCAAGCTGCAAATGCTCATCTTTCTCTCCAACCTTACAAAATATATTCAATCTCAAAGCAGCCAAACTTAAGTCCCTGTGTATTAAAGCATTTAAAATTATGAGAGCCCTCTGTTTTTCCTGCATGACTGCAGCAGTGACAGTTCTACACAGCTCATGGATAACAGTTTGGTTCATTCAACCAGCCAAGTAATTCCACAGGGCTGTAACTCCAGGAACTCCATCCCCCTGGATCATTCTGCTGGAATCCAGCACCCTGCACCCCCAGCCTGTGTGTTCTGCCAGGACACATCACTTCTTGCAGTCCTCCAGCTAGTTCTGTTCAGCTGTCACTCCCCACTGTTTCCTGTTCAGCTCCAGACTGTCTCACACCAGCTGCAGAAACGTTTTCAAAGGATCTACTTCCTCTTACCTGATCCTCCACAGCAACTTCTGTTCCCAACGTGTTATCTGTGTTCCACTTCTGGGTGAACGTCAGCCCATGCTCTTTCATCTTGTATTTGGTCTCTAGACTGCCTGAGGCCTTGCCCGTGTCCGTGTTGGAAGAACCAGTTGCAGTGAAGTCCTGGCAAGAGCATAATACAAGTTTCAGCACTCTTGAGGTTCAATTACATTCAGTTTTTCCACGTGTCCAGCACTCACAACTGCTACCCTCAGGCTTTTTGACAGAACCCTCAAAATCCTCCTCCTCCTCTTCCCAATCCCCACCTAAAATAATTATTTTTGCATCACAAAAGGCTACTGCTTTTGGCATCTCTGTTCTGAGTATTTCTTTTATTGAGGTGTGCTCCTGAAAACCCACTCTCCCTTAGGAAAAGTAATCCTACACCCAACTTACAGTGTCAGATGAACAGCAAAAAGAAAAAAATGTATTTTTCCCACATTTCTCCAAACATCTCGTGTGTTTCTTCGTTGTAATTATTTTTTTCTCCCATGTTTCAGCAGTGAAAGTGTCTTCTGGAGAAGTGATGCTTTTCACACTGACTACTGCAACCTAATTGTGGTTCCCCCTCCCCTTTATCCTGATGTCACTGAGACTCTTCATATACCACAGGGATGACTTCAGTACCTTCTCCCTCAACTTCTCACTCATTACTTCAGTCAGTAACTGCACTTCTGAAGCTGAGTCACCCTTTGGAAAGCACCTTAAAATTAGAGACCTTTTCTTCTTCCCAGTATCAGAAAGTAACCTGCCCCCACAGCACCCTGAGGTCTCTGTCAGGTGATCCCTCACTGAGGGTCAGTGTGTTCTGCAACATGCTCTGTGTGTGTTCTGGAACATCAGAGCTTCCTGTTATTTAGGGGACTTCAGGTCTCAATAAACATCTCTCCTCCTGGAATAACTCAAGAGTTTCATGCACAGCCCAGTATAAAGCAGTGAGTAGGAATACTGACACAGTAGTAAGCTCAAGGTGTGGGAATTAGGTTTTAAGAAGCATCTGAGAACAGCCCTCATTTGTTATCCCCATCTCTCAAATATTTTCCTTGAGAAAAGATAAATAACCTGTCATTAC